GGTATAAAAAGTCACTTGCTAGGTGAACTCAAGAGCTGTGAACAGAGGTAGCTAACATGATGGTTTTGGGAGGAGTTCAGAGGGGGACAGAGAATTTCCTTCCAGGTCCAGATCTATATTTGATTGTGCAGTGGCCAGGGTAACCAGGGTAGCCAGAACAGTGGGGGTAACCTACAATGGATGTGCCATATTTTCTTTCCTGCCTGAAGCTGGAACTTCCTGTGCATGAAGTGCAAGTTGGTGGCCATGCTGGAGAAAAAAAATATTATATTAGAAGGGCAAGTAGAGATACTACTGAGAATCAGAGAAGCTGAGGAGTTCCTAGACAACTAAGTTCAGAAAACATCAGTACCTCAGCTTCCTGGAAGAGACAAACTGGCCACCAAAGAGTCAGAGAGAGGAAGTCAGCAAGGCATAGCAGTTCTTAATGACCAAAGGCAGAAGTCAAGGTGGCTTTCTACACAGTTGGAGACCGACAAAGATGGGTAGGCTGCAGCCACCAGAGAGAAGTGGACCTAGGAGGAATTCCACACAGCTAGAAGTTTCCCACTGATACCAGTTCCTTAATGTGGAAACTGCGGAAGATCTCTCTGAAGATCTGGCTGGTCTCTGGAACAGAGAGATGTACAGGACACACCTGTGGATGTGTGCTTGGCCCAACCTGTAAGAAAATCAAGCTTGCCCACAAGGAGATCTTCAACTGGCCAAGGAAGATTGATGATCTTTGTGGGGATTCTACAACAAGAAGAACAGAAAGGACATTCTGCCAAGGACTGACAGACAAAAGACGGCATGCTGCTTTCCCAGAGCCAAGAAATATCATGTCACACTAAGATTGGATAGGCTTCTGAAGTTGGTGGATAAGGATCCACTGGTGATAGTCTACATCAGCCCTAATGCCACTGTACTGTGGAATCTCTCACAGATAATAGAGGACTTCAGGGAACTCAGAACGGAGCTGAAGAAGGAGAATGTCCAAGTGATCTTCCGTCTTCCTTCACCAAAGGACATGGAGGATCTCCAAGAAGTCAAAAGATTCTGAAAGTGAACCTCTGGCTAGGTAAGTGGTGGGGGTGTAGGGTTTTGACTTTGTGGAATATTGGTCCATTTATGGGGAGAATTGGCTGTACAGTTTGGATTGCCTTCATCTCAGTAGAAAGGGAACCATTTTTCTCAGGGACAGGCTGGCTACAGTAGTTAGGGGGGGCGTTAAACTAATAACAAAAGGAGAGAACAAGAAGAGGGAAGAAATGGGCATTCATTTAGTACAAATCTGATATGCTGTGAACACAAATAATCAAGGAACCAAAGGACAAGAAGAGAAAAAAAAATCTTTAATTATGTATACGCCAATGCTAGGAACCTGAAATTGCTCATTTATGAACAATAATTTGATCCAGTTGGTGCCAGAAACCTGATGGGAATATTTGCATAACTGCTCTTCTACTAAGAGCTAATTTTATTTCCATACTGAGAAAGCTTGGATACAGAGCTATTTATGCTCTACATTAAGCAGAGGCAGAGCTGGGTATCGTCTATATACTGTTGGCAATTCAGCCTGTACATTGTCACCAGCATTCCCAATGGTTTCACATAGACATAGAATAAGGTGAGAAAAATAACTGAACCTTGTGAGACACTGACTGCAGACAGAGGCTATGGAGGTGGAGAAACAGTTGCCCATAACAAACCTTTGGATTCGGTTTGAGAGAAAGGACTGTAGTCATTTCAGGATATTTCTGTTCATCCCCACACTTAATGGGCTGTAATAGGAGTACAGCAGACCCTCGCTAGAGCGTGTGTCGCTAGAGCACGGATTCGCATATAGCGTGGTCGTGGTGATGGATCCCAAATTTAAATATTTAAATTGGGATCCATGGTAACGTGGCCCCTGCTATAACACGGTCCCTGCGTTAACGCGGTACCATGCATGGATCCCGAACCCCGCGTTCTACCGAGGGTCCGGTGTATTTGGTGGTGATGCAGAGAGACCCAGCAGAATTAGTACGGAATTATCTCCTTCCCTTGCCTATAATCAAGAAAAGATCATCCAAGAAGCCAAATGCTGTGTCTGCCTGTCTCTCTTTTTGAAACTCACGACTGGAGAAGATAGGAATTAATATGAGAATTGAAAGACGCATAAGGAACTGGCTAAAGGGGAGACTACAACTGGCCATAGCAAAAAAGAACTGTCAGGCTGCGGGAAGGTTACTAGTGGAGTTCCTCAGGGATCAGTCTTGACACCAATCTTATTCAACATTTTTATTAATGACCTTGGCACAAAAAATGGGAGCGCGCTAATAAAATTTCCAGATGACACAAAGTTGGGAGATACTGCCAATATGGAGGAGCACTGGAACATCATACAAGAAGGGTGGATGATCTTGAAACTGGAGTAACAGTGTTACCCAGAATTTGACATTCCTTCAGTAACCCCAGAATGTGACAATACTGCCATCAGCCATCTTGTATGTTCAGTCACTGCTAGCTGAAAAAAACAAACCCCACATGGCATAGCTAGGAATAATTTTGGCCCTGAGAGGCAAAGACGTGCAGCTGCATGTTTGCAGTTCTACTAATAAGAATGGGAGGATGGAACAGGGAGTTAGTGAAAATAGAAGGAATGTTTGGACAGCTGACCTTGGTTTTAAGTGCCTCTGACATGTACGTTTTATTGTTATGACTAGAAATGCTTTGATACAAGATAATGAGTAGTTTGCTGAAATTATGAGAATTGGTGACCCTTTAGGGGTTACTATGGTGACCCACTAGGAGTCACTGTAAGTTATGTGCTTTGTTTAAAGTTAGCTATAAAATATTAGGTGAAAGAATATGCTTTGGATCAGTCTGAGGAAGCTTTTTCTTTGGGCAAGGATCTGACACCTAAGATCTCCAGCAGCTAGATGGAAGAAGGGCCCCAGGAAAGCTGGCTGTTGATTCCTCAAAACCATCTTAAACTTTGGTAAATATAAAGGTTTAGTATGGTCTGAAGCTACTGCTACAGCATGTGTGTGCATGCACATGTGCTTGAGACCTAATAAAAAAAGCAGTTTTAGGTAAAAACACTCTTGTTTGTGCCAATCATTGATCAGATGGAGGAGCTGTGTCCCCATTGATTTATTCCTGATACCGCCTGCAAAGAAACAGTTAAGTTATCACTGCTTTGGGTTCTGAAAACCCTGTGTAACAATAGCAACAGGATGAAATTTAATAGTGCAAAGTGCAAGCTCATGCACCTAGGAACTAACAACAAGATTTTTTTCTATAAGCCGGGGACATATCAGTTGGAAATGACAGAGGAGGAAAGCGACCTTGGAGTTTTGGTCAGTTACAAGATGACCATAAGCCACCAATGTGATGTGGCCATCAAAAAAGCTAATGCAATCCTAGGATGCATCAGGTAAGGTATTTACAGTAGATATAAGGAAATGTTATTACCTAGTTACAAACCACTGGTGAGACCTCATCTGTAATGCTTAAGAAAGATGAATTCAAACCAGAACAGGGCGGAAAAAGGCTGCTACGGTGATCAGAGGAACAAAGAACATACTTTCCAAGGGGAGACTTAGGATACGTCCACATAGCAAAAAAAAACAAACCCCTGGCTGACCCACGACAGCCAACTTGGGCTCGGGGGTTTGGGCTGTGGGACTGTTACATTGCTGTGCAGACTTCTGGGCTTGGGCTGGTGCCCAAGCTCTGGGACCCTCCCGCCCTGCAGGGCCCTAGAACCTGGGCTCCAGACCGAGCCCAGAAACCTACACAGCAATGAAACAGCCTTGCAGCCTCAGTCAGCTGGCACGGACATACTTTGCTGCATAGACAGACTCTTAAGGAGCTTGACTTGTTTAGCCTAACCAAATGAAGGCTGAGGGGAGATACAACTGCTCTCTATAAACACATCAGAGGAATAAAAAGGGAGAGGAACTATTTAAATTAGGAGCTAATGATGATACAAGAACAAATGGCTATAATCTGTCCATCAACTAGTTTAGGCTTGAAATTAAACAAAGATTTCTAACTATCAGAATGAGGTTCTGGAATAGCTTTCCAAGGGAAGCAGTGAAGGCAAGGTTTCAAGACACAGCTTGATAAGTTTATGGAGGGGATGCTATGATGAAATTGCCTACAATGGCATGTGGCCCATCTACAACTCCTAGTAGCAAATATCTCCACTCCAGTAGCCAGAGATTGGCCATTAGATGGGGAGGGCTGTGAGTTACTATAGCATATTTCCCCCCCAGTTATCTAGCTGGTGTGTTTCATGAACACACTCAGGGTCTAACGGGTTGCCATATTTGCGATCAGAAAGGAGGTTTCTGCGACACCAGACTGCAGATTTTCACCTTCCTCTGCAGCATGGGGCTCAGGCCACTTGTAGGGCCACACTACTATAAATGGTGGATTCTTTGTAATTTGAAGTCTTTAAATCATGATTCAAGGGGTTCAGTAATTTAGCCAGATTATGGGTTTATTACAGGAGTGGGCGGGTGAGATTCTGTAGCTTGCAATGTGCATGCCAGACTAGATGATCATGATGAGCCTTTCTGACCTTAACCTATCAGTATAAAAACCACTTTTCCACACCATGAAATCTGGGTTTCTTTCCTTCAGTCTGTTTTGTTTTGTGACCACTTCTCCTCCAGGCTGATACGCGCTCCCCATTCGTATGGGACCCCACTTTCTGGCTCTTTTAAAGCTTCACTTTGTGTTCTCACCCTGGGCACCGTTTTGTGGGATTGCCCCACCTGGCCTGGTCTCCCACCTGGCCTGAGCGGGGCACCTTCCCCTCCGCCCTCTGCTCTTTACTCACTCTCCCAGGAGAGGTCCTGCCCCCTTCAAGTAAGGGCGACCGCATGTTTCACTATGGGGCGCCCGCACTGCCACTGCGGGGAGCCGACGGCCTCGGGCATCCAGGCTCCCTTCCTTGCCTCCCGCGCCAGGTGTCTCAAGGGTCTCCTCGGGCGCCCGCTCCCCCCCCGCCAGGACGGGCCCCTCACCTGGCAGCGCCATGGAGCCAAGGGCCCAGCAGCGTCTCCCCGAGCTGAGCCGAACACAGGCGGTGGCGCTTCCCGGCCGGACGCCTTTGGGCAGCGCACTCCGGGCCGCACCATTAGACAGGGAGAAGAGGGGTGAGTGAAATCACCCCGGCGACGGGGCGAGGCGGAGGAGCCGGGTCAGCATCAGGATTGGGAGGCGCGACGGAGGCGGCGCGTTTCTCAGCGATTGTCCGGCGGCTCCGCGCTCGGCCTCTCGTCCCGGCTGCCTCCCCCCGCGCCGCAGCGCCGGATCCCGGAGTCCAACATGGCGGGAGGTTCGCGGGGCTAGTTGGGTCTTCCGCAGCGCCGGGACTGGAGCGAAAGCGGAGCCGGGTCCGTCCTCGCGGCGCCCCCTCTTCTCAGCCCTAGCCCACCCCCGCCGCCAGCATGAGCAACATCTACATCCAGGAGCCTCCGACCAACGGCAAGGTGAGCCCCGCCCCGGGCGCGCCGGGGACGCGTGAGGTGGGATGGGGGCGAGGGACCAGCGTGTGAGGCTGGGAAGGGCGAAGGGAGCCAGGAGCGAGAGGGGCAGCTCCGCTGACCATCATCCGCACCCCCGTTATAAAAATGGTTCCCGCGCCCCTGTGCTACACTTCTTGGCAGGTGCGAGTTACGTTAGCGAGCAAGAAGGTTTTCAATTGAATCTACATTAGCTCTTTTATTATACCATGGAGAGACAAAAGGTCACGTGGTGTCTATGACCCTAAAACAGCACCCAGGTACAAGTACCTGTCCCCACCCTGGACAAGTACTTGTACCTGGTTAGCGTACAGTGGCCTCCCTCAGCAGATAGCTCCTGTACCTGCAGGCTTGGCCGCTTGCTTCGGCGCTGCGCGTACTCCCCAGGAGTGTTCGGGTCGATGCAAAGTGCCTACAGCGAGGATAGGTATCCCAGCCTGCAAACCGCTACCGTCTAGCTCAGGGGTTCTCAACATTTTTCTTTCTGAGCCCCTTCTCCCATGCTATAAAAACTACAACCTACTTGTGCCAAAACAATTGGTTTTCTGCATATAAAAGCTAGGGCCAGCGTTAGGGGGTAGCACACAGGGCAATTGCCTCGGGCCCCATGCCCCAGAAGACCTGCAAAGCTAGGTTGTTCAGGCTTCGGCTTCAGCCCCATGTGGTGGCTTTTCAGCTTTCTGCCCTGGGCCCCAGCGAGTCTAATGCTGGCCCTGCTTGGCAGACCCCCTGAAACCTGCTCAGGTCCCTGCAGCGGGACCTGGAGCCATGGTTGAGAACCACTATTCTAGCGCGATGCCTTTTGGGAAGTTTTCTCCTGTGGTGGGATAGAAATAGCTCACCCAGTGATCTCTGGAAGCTGAGTCAAGTTCCCAGCATGTAACTTAGAATAATAGGGTTAGAAGGGACCACAAGGGTCATCTAGTCTAACCCCTTGCCAAGAGGCAGGATTTGTTGTGGCTAAACCAGCCAAGGTAGATGGCTCTCCAGCCTCCTTTTGAAAATCTCTAGTGAAGGAGCTTCCAAAACCTCCTGAGGTAGTCTATTCTATTATTCTACTGTTCTTATGGTTATGAAGTTTTATCTGAGATTTAATCTAATTTAAACTTTCTCCATCCCATAATGTCATCCCTATTCCATAATTTTTATGCTATTTTTTTTTTAAAAATCCCAAAAGCCTACATAGTACTTGTAGCTGCCTGCCATCTCTGACAGAAGCATGGAGCCTGCAGAGCTCTGCGCTATTGTCATGAACCTTGCAAATACAGAACGCATAATCCTCTGGTTATGAGTAGAGCTGCAGGAAGAACCACAACAACAGGGGATATGGTGATTTATTTGAGGAGCGACTGCTGAGGGACATAACAAAACACAATTCAAGGTTATTGATGGATCACTGCATCAGTGCTCATTTCTCAGGCCCAGATTGGTGGGATCACATCACAGAGCAGGTTTGGGACAACGAGCAGTGGCTGCACGACTTCCAGATGCAAAAGGTTGCCTTCTTGGATCTATGTGCCAACCTCACTCCAGCTCTCCAGTGCAGGGACACCAGAATGAGAGCTTTGCTGGCAGCTGAGAAATGAGTGGCAATCCCACTGTGGAACCTTGTGATGTCATATTGCTACCGGTCAGTGGGAAATCATTTTGGAGTTGGAAAATCTACAGCAGGGACTGTTGTCATGCAAGTATGTGGGGCCATTGATCGTATTCTGCTGCACAGGACTGTGACTCTCAGTTATACAGAGGACATAATGCATGGATTTGCAGCAGTGGGGTTCCCAAGCTGTAATGGGTGATAAGCAGCACACACTTCCCTATATTGGTACCAGTTCACCTTGCCATAGAGTATATCAATAGAAAAGACTACTTTTTTGTGGATTATGCAAGCTGATCACTAGGCATGCTTCACTGATATTGATGTGGGTGGGGAGGGAGAAGTGCATGATGCTTGCATCTTTAAGAACCGGACTGTTCAGAAAGCTGCAAGCAGGGACATTCTTTCCTGACTATAAGGTTACCATTTGCAATATTAAAATGTCCATAGTGATTCTGGGGGACCCAGCCTGTCCCTTGTTCCACTGCTCATGAAGCCATATGCCAACCACCTCAACAGCACTAACGAAAGGTTCAGCTATCAGCTCAACAGATACAGAATGACCATTGAATCTGCTTTTCGTAGATTGAAGGGATGCTGGCAGTATTTATCCACAAAATTGCATCTCAGTGAGAATGATATTCCAATGGTTATAGCTGCCTGTTGTGTCTTGCATAATATCTGCAAATGGGGAAAAGCTACCTCCGGGGTGGAGGACAGAGGTGGAGCAGCCAGACACAGGGGCTATTACAAGAGCTCAACTTGGAGCTGTGTGGTTGAGGGAGAGCTTGAAAGAGCCTGTTAATGGCCAACTACAGTAATGTGCTGTACTGGAGTGTGCTCTGGCCCTGAAGTTTTAGGGGCTTTTAGGAATTCTATTCAGCTAGTTATACATTTATAAATATTACACCATGTCTTGTAGTGAACCTATGAATTATGAGGTGCTTGCTGTACATATATAATTATGTATTATTACACTGTGTGTTTCACTGAACCTGTGAGTTCTGTGATACAGTACAATTACAAGTAGTGTGTTTTGAGTACTGCTATATATTCTGCCTTATGTTTTGTGAACTAATAAAGATGTTTGTTTTAAAAAACTGTATTGTGTAGCAAAAACTGCCAAAATCCAATGCTGAAATTAAAAAAATAAAGCATGAAACTTTAAAATTAGACAGAAAACATCCCTGTCCCTTTCATTACACAAATGAAACTCCTGGGGGAATTCTGCAACAAAAAATTAAAAATTCTGCACCTAATATTTTAAAATTCTGCATATTTTATTTGTCAAAATAACATAAGCACACCAGTTTCAATTATTTTTGGTCATTTATTTCAAAATACCTGTCAGCACGTATGTCTATAACAATACAGACAACAAAAAAGATTCAGGAAATGTTTTTTGACAAATAGATTCCTTATTAGGCATATTAATAAAGAACTCTGAGTAATAATTCATTTAAACTACTATACAGAACCGTATTTCCCACACCCCGCAGAAGCAGTGCAAAGGCTTGGGGGAGTCGGGGTAATGGAGGATTTGAGGGAGAGGAAGTTAATTGCTGAGAAGGAGCCTGGGTGTGAACTTGGAGGGTTGTTGGGTATGGGTGGGAAAAGTATGAAACAGTGGGTTTTTTTTGCGGGGGGGGGGGGAAGGTAGTTAGGGAGCTTTCCCCCATGCAGACCCTCGCTGACCGCTAGCCTCTCCTGTTCAGTCAGACACATCTGCCCCATCCCCATGTGTCCTGCACTCCCTCCCCTGTCCCCATGTATCTTTGTACCCCCACCCACCCACTCCCCTGTCCCTATGTGTCTGTGTCTCTGTGTCCCCACTCAGCCACCTTCTGTCCCTTTACAGCTCTGCACCCCCTCCCCATCACCACGTGGCCTGCACCTACCTCCCCACTGTGATCCTGCACCTCCACTCCCATTCAGCTCCTGCCTCAGTCTGTCCTCCCGCACTAGCCCTGATGAGCCCCTGTCTGATCCTCCCAGCACCTCATGCTGTCTGTCTTCCCATAGCCCCCGTCTCCTGACCTGGCCTGACAGTCACTGTGAAGAAGGCAAGCTCTTTCTCTTCTGTAGCTGGCTGGGAGCTGCTGCTGTTCTTGTGCCACAGTTCCCTCTGGTGGGCAAAAGGTGGAACTGCAGAAACATTTTAGCAGAAGCTTTTTTCTGTGCAAAACACTTAAAATATGCATGGGTCATTAATTATGTATGCGCGCAGTAGCACAGAATTCCCCCAGGAGTAATTTTGGCTACACATACACCAACTGTCTCTCTTTCAGGTCAGTGTATGTGGAGCTGTGGTTGTCCTTATTGTCTCCCCAGTGCTGAGTTGGTAGGAGTAGGGATGTGATTCATGGTGCCACGTGGAATGTGGTGGGGGTGTAGAGAGCTGCTACAGTTCTCAGATGATTGCAAAGGGTGGTGAGTCCTTGATTGTTGGACCTGTAGATCAAGAGTCTACATCATGTGTGTTTGCGTGAGAAACCGCTCCTCCCCAACTCCCCACCAATATCCTGCTGCATCTCCCTTTCCTTTTCTTGCTGAGACTCATTGGCCTTCCTCCAGTCAGCTCTTTCCTTTGCCATATTGTCTGCCATATTTACCTTCCAGGCCCCTTGTTTGTGATCCGATGCAGAACTGGCTTGTAGGATCTCGCTGAACGTATCTTTCCTAGTCCTCTTCCTTTTCCTCCTTCTCATGATCAGGCATTCTGCAGGTGTGGAGGGGGTACCCCTCAAGGCTTCAGTGGAAAGCCACAGGTAAAACAAATGTATCGTTGGATTTACAGTCTCAACAAAAAGGAAAGGATAAGTCTCAAAACTCCCTTCCCTTATTCCCATAAAATTTTTTAATAAGTAATGCTTATTGATACTTTAGCTTTGGCGTGCACAGCACCACTCTCCAGCCCCAGCCAGGGTGAGTATGGCTTGCCAGAGATGAAGGGAGGAGAATGAGGAGGGACTTAAGATTTTTGGTTGCATGAAGCAATAAAATGGTGGCCCTTATTTTCATAGGACAGTGGCACTGGGTACTGGCACTATTTTCAATAGGTGGTAGTGATTTTAACTGATATCTCCCTTCTGAGAGAGGACAAAGGCATAGAGAACACAGCTGCTGCTGGTGTTCTGAAGCTGCCCGGGCCTGTGTCTCACTACCCAGTTGACTGCAGTGGTGCCTGCTGAAGTCATCGTGGAGTGGTATAGGAAAGTGTCCTACCATGGAAGAAGAAATAAGGCTTCTATCTCTAAAAACCTTTGAGAGAGGATTGCAGAGCATCTCCATGAAAGTTTTATCGAGTTCTCTCAGGGGGGAGGGATAGCTCAGTGGTTTGAGCATTGGCCTGCTAAACCTAGGGTTGTGAGTTTAATCCTTGAGGGGGCCACTTAGGGATCGGAGCAAAAAATTGGAGATTGGTCCTGCTTTGAGCAGGGGGTTGGACTAGATGACCTCCTGAGGTCCCTTCTGACGCTGATATTCTATGAGAAAGATACACGGGACATCCCTACATACTTCAACAGATTGCTCCGCATGTCCACCCCCTGCCTTTCCTTACATGGGAATAAAAAGGAGATAACAAGGTCACATTTATTTGTTGTATCGCTCCCACTTGTCATGTGAACAAAACAATGAAAAGTTGATACCTGTGTCCTGTTTACTTGGGACTGGGCTAGACACCATCTTTAAATTTAACATTGTAAGGAAAAATGCATGTGCACATTTACCTGAGGTTTCGTCCCCTTCATAAGGCTCATTCTGATGGGACTGACTAGGTTGTGGTAGAGTCTCAAACAGGTCCTGGCTTGTGGCATAGCTGGACACCCTTGCCATATGTCCTCTCCTTCTTTCTCCCCTGTTTACGGCAGGGGTCACTGTTGCAGACTGTTCCAAGGTATCCATGGTTTCCTGTGGAGTGCTGGTGGCGTCTCTGCCAAGAATGGCATGCAGCTTGTAAAAGTGATAGGTCTGTGGTGCATAGGGTGAAAAATCAGGATGGGGGTGGGGAGTGATAGGCATCTATATAAGAAAAAGCCTCAAATGTTGGTACTCTCTCCATAAAATCGGGACAGCTGGTTACCCTAGTGGCTGGCGTAGCACCAGATCAATTGTTGGCCTATGTGACCTTGTAGTATGCCTGCCTCAGTTCCTTCCCTTTCAAGCAGTACTGCTGCTAATCCCTATTTTATCCCTTCACCTGTGTCCCCTGTGCAGTCTTTTTGTAGATGTCCACGTTCCTTGCACAGCCTCTTCTCTCTATAGGCCCAGGAGATGCAAGGCCTCCTGTGTATTCCAGGTGGGAACACATTTAGTATGTGGAGCCAGCATGGTTGTCAGTTGGGCAGTTGCACACAACAAGGGAGAGCTGCTAGGTGTGCTCACCAAGGTGGGCAATCGGGCAAAGCCATTTAAAAAATAAAAGGGGGTGGTTTCCAGTCCTTGTGACCTCTGGGCAGTAGAGTTCACAACTGTGACTAGCGGGGTCACTGTTGCAGGGAATGGGGCATTGTGGGACAGTTGCTGGAGGACCGTTAGGGTTAGCGTATCTTGATGCAGTGTCAGATTCACTGTGTTAACCTCTGTAGGTTGACTGTGGCTCCAGGCCATTTGAGGAGATGGTTTTACTGCTTCACAGTTATGAGCTGCTTACATTGGCCAGAGGAAAAATATTGAGTGTAGGCACATGTACAAATAGGTTGACAAAAGGTAGATTACATCGACCTAACTTTATAGTGTAGACTGGGCCTAATTTTACTATACTCCTGGTAGTAAAGTTATGCAAATGCATAAGTGTTTGCAGGATCTGGGCTTAAATGGACAAGATAGACAAAGGCGGGAAGGGAAAGGAAAGAAATACAGAGAGTTGAAGAAACTTGCCCAATGTAACACAGTGGGCCATTGGTAATAAAGTCTTACAAAAACTATTCTTTGACTTGTGTATCAGACAAACTGTAGGACAAATAGTCGACATCTAGTACTTTAAAATACCTGCCACTGAAAACCAGACCAACTTCCTAATTTTGTTCTTGCATTCCTAAAATTGGATGAAGAATTTTTTTACTTGTGACTGTATTATTTGATCAGAGACTTCACCTGTAAATGTTTAAGTGCAATAAGACTAAACAGTGTATTTTCATATATTTTATAGGTTTTACTGAAAACGACAGCTGGAGATATTGACATAGAGCTATGGTCAAAAGAAGCACCAAAAGCATGCCGAAATTTCGTCCAGCTTTGTATGGAAGGTAATGATTGAGTTGGACAGTAGTTGTCGTTAATATTATTCAGTGTACAGTATTGGTGACTTCTTCCATTTTATGCTTTTTCATAAAACAGGAATCACAGGAATAGTACACTAATGTCCACGGGAATTGATATTAAGATATAGTTACCAGTGTGCAGGAAAACTAGAAGTGTTGAGAAATACGTTTTTCAAAGCTATAGAAAGAGACCTTAGACAAAGAATTTTAAAAAGCATTTTAAATATGTTTCTCAGATCCAATAGATGGCAGGTTATTACTGAACTACAATACATGAGAGACTTAAGAGGACTTACTATGTGGGTATTTTGTAATGTGTAACTATGTTCTTCAGTAAACTCATGAAATGATAGCCAAGCGGTCCAAGGAAGTCTCTTGAAAAATTACTTTGTGCATCACTCTCCTTTCCCTGCCTATGACTTCCTGTTTTCTTTCAAAAACATCTGGGGATTTTTAATATTTCATTGTGCTGCCATTTCAGAGTGGTGGGAGCTCTGTAATCCAGATCAAAGAAATGAGGTTTGGGGATTAAATGATCTGCCTTGGGAAAACCACACCATGGGAGGATGAAGGAGCTTGTAGCTACACAGGTTTCAGAGTAACAGCCGTGTTAGTCTGTATTCGCAAAAAGAAAAGGAGTACTTGTGGCACCTTAGAGACTAACCAATTTATTTGAGCATAAGCTTTCGTGAGCTACAGCTCACTTCATCGGATGCATACTGTGGAAAGTGTAGAAGATCTTTTATACACACAAAGCATGAAAAAATACCTCCCCCCACCCCACTCGCCTGCTGGCAATAGCTTATCTAAAGTGATCACTCTCCTTACAACGTGAATGATAATCAAGTTGGGCCATTTCCAGCGCAAATCCAGGGTTTAACAAGAACGTCGGGGGAGTGAGGGGTTTAGGAAAAAACAAGGGGAAATAGGTTACCTTGCATAATGACTTAGCCACTCCCAGTCTCTATTCAAGCCTAAGTTAATTGTATCCAATTTGCAAATGAATTCCAATTCAACAGTTTCTCGCTGGAGTCTGGATTTGAAGTTTTTTTTGTTGAAGAATTGCAACTTTCATGTCTGTAATCACGTGACCAGAGAGATTGAAGTGTTCTCCGACTGGTTTATGAATGTTATAATTCTTGACATCTGATTTGTGTCCATTTATTCTTTTACGTAGAGACTGTCCCGTTTGACCAATGTACATGGCAGAGGGGCATTGCTGGCACATGATGGCATATATCACATTGGTGGATGTGCAGATGAACGAGCCTCTAATAGTGTGGCTGATGTTATTAGGCCCTGTGATGGTGTCCCCTGAATAGATATGTGGGCACAGTTGGCAACGGGCTTTGTTGCAAGGATAGGTTCCTGGGTTAGTGGTTCTGTTGTGTGGTATGTGGTTGCTGGTGAGTATTTGCTTCAGGTTGGGGGGCTGTCTGTAGGCAAGGACTGGCCTGTCTCCCAGGATTTGTGAGAGTGTTGGGTCATCCTTCAGGATAGGTTGTAGATCCTTAATCATGCGTTGGAGCGTTTTTAGTTGGGGGCTGAATGTGACGGCTAGTGGCATTCTGTTATTTTCTTTGTTAGGCCTGTCCTGTAGTAGGTGACTTCTGGGTACTCTTCTGGCTCTCTCAATCTGTTTCTTCACTTCTGCAGGTGGGTATTGTAGTTGTAAGAATGCTTAATAGAGATCTTGTAAGTGTTTGTCTCTGTCTGAGGGGTTGGAGCAAATGCGGTTGTATCGCAGAGCTTGGCTGTAGACGGTGGATGGTGTGGTGTGGTCAGGGTGAAAGCTGGAGGCATCTAGGTAGGAATAGCGGTCAGTAGGTTTCCGGTATAGGGTGGTGTTTATGTGACCATTGTTTATTAGCACTCTAGTGTCCAGGAAGTGGATCTCTTGTGTGGACTGGACCAGACTGAGGTTGATGGTGGGATGGAAATTGTTGAAATCCTGGTGGAATTCCTCAAGGGCTTCTTTTCCATGAGTCCAGATGATGAAGATGTCATCAATATGGCGCAAGTAGAGTAGGGGCATTAGGGGACGAGAGCTGAGGAAGCGTTGTTTTAAGTCAGCCATAAAAATGTTGGCATACTGTGGGGCCATGCAGGTACCCATAGCAGTGCCGCTGATCTGAAGGTAGACATTGTCCCCAAATGTAAAATAGTTATGGGTAAGGACAAAGTCACAAAGTTCAGCCACCAGGTTAGCCGTGACATTATCGGGGATAGTGTTCTCGACAGCTTGTAGTCCATTTTTGTGTGGAATGTTGGTGTAGAGGGCTTCTACATCCATAGTGGCCAGCAGGAGAGTGGGGTGGGGGGAGGTATTTTTTCATGCTTTGTGTGTATAAAAGATCTTCTACACTTTCCACAGTATGCATCCGATGAAGTGAGATGTAGCTCACGAAAGCTTATGCTCAAATAAATTGGTTAGTCTCTAAGGTGCCACAAGTACTTCTTTTCTTTTTGCGAATACAGACTAACACGGCTGTTACTCTGAAACCTGTCATTATGCAAGGCACTGCATTTAGCCGTATGGAGTGGAAATCTATCAACTGCATGAAAATACTTGCACAGATACAGACAGACATCATCTTCCTTTCCAAATGCAAACAGATGGACATCGTACCAAAAGGACTGAAGGTAAAAAAATCCATTACAATCTACATACCACACAGACTATGCTGACAGCTTGTGCCACACGCGCTCAAAGAAACTGCGGAATCATCTGATCAACATGCTCTACAGCAAACAGGGAAAGATTAAGAATGAGCTCTCAAAAATGGATACTCTCATAAAAAACTCACAGCTACAGCTCACTTCATCGGATGTCAAGCTCTGCGATACAACCGCATGTGCTCCAACCCCTCAGACAGAGACAAACACCTACAAGATCTCTATCAAGCATTCTTACAACTACAATACCCACCTGCTGAAGTGAAGAAACAGATTGACAGAGCCAGAAGAGTACCCAGAAGTCACCTACTACAGGACAGGCCTAACAAAGAAAATAACAGAACACCACTAGCCATCACATTCAGCCCCCAACTAAAACCCCTCCAATGCATTATTAAGGATCTACAACCTATCCTGAAGGATGACCCAACACTCTCACAAATCCTGGGAGACAGGCCAGTCCTTGCCTACAGACAGCCCCCCAACCTGAAGCAAATACTCACCAGCAACCACATACCACACAACAGAACCACTAACCCAGGAACCTATCCTTGCAACAAAGCCCGTTGCCAATTGTGCCCACATATCTATTCAGGGGACACCATCACAGGGCCTAATAACATCAGCCACACTATCAGAGGTTCGTTCATCTGCACATCCACCAATGTGATATATGCCATCATGTGCCAGCAATGCCCCTCTGCCATGTACATTGGTCAAACGGGACAGTCTCTACGTAAAAAGAATAAATGGACACAAATCAGATGTCAAGAATTATAACATTCATAAACCAGTCGGAGAACACTTCAATCTCTCTGGTCACGTGATTACAGACATGAAAGTTGCAATTCTTCAACAAATACTTCAAATCCAGACTCCAGCGAGAAACTGTTGAATTGGGATTCATTTGCAAATTGGATACAATTAACTTAGGTTACCTTGCATAATGACTTAGCCACTCCCAGTCTCTATTCAAGCCTATTTCCCCTTGTTTTTTCCTACCCCCCCCCCCCCCGACGTTCTTGTTAAACCCTGGATTTGTGCTGGAAATGGCCCACCTTGATTATCATACACGTTGTAAGGACAGTGGTCACTTTACATAAGCTATTGTCAGCAGGAGAGTGGGGTGGGGGGAGGTATTTTTTCATGCTTTATGTGTATAAAAGATCTTCTACACTTTCCACAGTATGCACCCGATGAAGTGAGCTGTAGCTCATGAAAGCTTATGCTCAAATTAATTGGTTAGTCTCTAAGGTGCCACAAGTACTCCTTTTCTTGTAGCTACACAGTATTTCCAGCTGGTGCCACTAGCCCTTTTATGTATCTTTTAGGGGTAAGGTACCTCAAGACCCTTTCTGATGTGTACCATTTCTTGTAGATATCCTCTGTACAGGAGATTTTCACTCCCGTCTTGTGCCTCCAGCATAAATCAAACCCATCATTTCTTGTACCGCTAGAACATATCTGTTTGAAAGGCATTCAGCCCTGGTATAAAGACTTCAAGTGATGGAGTCCCTTGATAAGTTGTTCCAATGATCAGTTACCCTAAATATTTTTTTTAGTCTGAATTTGTCTAGTTTCCACTTCCAGCCATTGGATCTCATTATGCCATTGTCTGTCTGCTCAATTAAAGAGCTTTCTACTGTTGGAAATCTTCTTCCCTTGTAGGTACTTATAGATGATGATGATCAAGTCACCTCTCAGTCTTCTCTTGGACAATCTGAATAGATTGAGCTTCTTACCTTTTTAGCTGTAAGGCACATTTTTCAGACTTCAAATCATTCTTGTAGCTGTTTTCTGAGCTCTTTCCAATTTGTCAATATTGTTTTTGAAACATAGACACCAGAACTGAACTCAATACTCTAGTAATAATCTCACTAATGCCATATGCAGAGGTAACACCAACTCCTACTTGATAATCCCCTGTTTATATATACAAAGATTGCTTTAACCCTCTTAATAGCTGCATTACAGTGGGAGCTCATGATTGTTTGGTTATCCACCATGAGCTTGAAGTCCTTTTCAGTCACTGTTTTCTGGATACAGTCCGTCCCCCGGGTGGAGGACTGTATTCAGAGGCTAAGCCATGCACCAAGGAGACGCCGCCAGTCCCTCATGAAACCATGCCCAGATGAGACTATTATAGCAGTGAATTCCACATTTGTTGATGCTCCAAGCACTAAAAAGAGCACTGTGCTCCGTGAGTTAAGGCAGTGACCCATGAAAAAGGTAATGTCTTTGTGCTTCAGAGATTGAAATTGTCTTTTTCATGGGTCTCTGCCTTAGGTCAAGGAGCACAGTGCTTTAATTTGTCATGATTAACACTATCTTTATCCTCCTAGTCAGCAACCCAGAAGTTATTTTTAATTCCCTCACCCCCATATTTATGCTTTGTCCAAATCCTGCCACTTCTTCCTCCCTGGCTTCCTGTCTGAGCCTTCAACACTGTCTAGACATCAAAAGCTCTTGTCCAAGTCTGGATCACCTCCCATCTTGATTTACTCCCAGGCATCTCCTTATCTTCCTGGCTTCAGTCCCTTCCTATGATATATATGTTGTCGTCCCCAATGAAACCCTCCATACACTTGCCTTTCTCCAGGCATCAAGTTCAAGTTTCTTGTCAGTTTCTTGATGGGCCTAAATAAATCTGTTCCTCCTTAGTTATCCACTCATCTCATTGTGTTGCTCCAATGGGCTTTGCTAATAATGCCTGCTATGGATACTCATTTATCCTACAAATGCCTCCAGGTGTTACAGATGGAATGCCTTCCTTGAAATCATCTGAAAGGCAAATACAGTTCTCCTTTTAAGACCCACCACTGCTGTGATGCTTACAAGAAAATAAGTAATTATTGACATTTAGATTAATAGTTTTTAAGGCCAGGAGGACCATTATGACTATCTAATTTGACTTCTTCATTAACACAAGAGAAGGAACCTCACCTAGTGATTTCTGCATCAGGTCCATAACTTCTGTTATGCATATCTTTTAAACTGACAACCAGTCTGTATATAAGAATATTTAGGTTTAGGGGCAGATGAGAATAGTTTTGTGTTTTTAATTTTTAGGAAAAAACCCCACCCACCTTCTAGCCTATGTTGCTGCATCATTTTATTAGGTTTTTCATCTTCCTTCCCCCTTCTCTCCCTGGCCCTTCTATTGGTTGTTTGTTAGTTTTGAATTTATCTCTTCAAGGCAACAGCTGTCTTCCTATTTGTTTGTTCAGCACCTTGAACATTGCCAAAATATAAATAGTGAGAGGGACTTCTCAAGAAACATAAATTGGCCAAATGCTATGAAGTAACAATTTTACACTGATAATTAATTTTGAATATCTGATTTATGGCACCCAGTTTACAACACTATCCTAAACACACACAGTGCCGGAATAGTGTATAACTATGTCATAATGATGAGGCTTGCTAGGAAGGGAGCAAAAGTTCACATTTTATATGAGATTATTAGAGAAAGAGTAAAGTTTGTTTTCAGTAGTCAGAATAACAACATTACTAATATGGTGAAAAAATGTTTGAAATATATGAAGACTTCTTGAACTTGGCTTATTTTAAATGGAAATATCTCTGTCTACAGTATAAAATTTGTAAGTCCTCCATTGTCTTAAAACATCATGGTTTTTTAATTGACCTGCTACATATGTCAAGCAGAGTTAAATTTTCACCTCCCAGAAGCTGTTTTGATTTCCCTATAATAAAACCAAGAAGCACAATAGACTCAGTGTTTCAGAGTCTGATTGGAGCACCATATAAGGTGAAACTGATGAATACTTGTCAGTGTTGGTGTGTAGCCAATACCATTGTTTGGCCATACTAAATTATAGATGTATATGAAAAGCTTTGGTCATAGAGAGAGAAGAAAAGAATGAAAGGAGGAAAAACCTTCCATGCTCAAAGTGTGAGAGTAGAACCCTGTTCTGTCAATTTAAGAACTTTTATACTCTAACAGCTTATCTATCACGGAACGGTGGCCGTTAATTTAGCAATATTAGCAACATGCCTTCTCATGTTCTTGGTTTATTTTTTTAACCCAGCTGTTTTTATTTCCAGTCACTTACGTGATAGTGGTGTTATACTTAATTTCTTGAACACTTGATAACTGACAATAGGAAATTATTGGCACGGAAAAACCCAGCATTGTGACAAATAATGTGAAGTATGCAGTTTATTTTTTCTCACATTTATTGATATAGCTTGTATGTAGTTTTTAGCTCCATTAATTCACATAAACTAATCTTTAGGTTAGGAAATTAAGAATTACCCCACAACTTTGATTGTGTGGTGGTTGGTGGAAATATAGTGCTAGAATATTCCTACTAAGTTAAGCTCCTGATGATTATATTAGAGCAGAAGTCTAAAAAATAAGGAGATACTATAGAATAAACACAGACACATTGGACTTAATTCTCCTTTTATGCTGATCTTCGTCAGTAATAACTCAAAGTTCTTGGTAAAAGGAGTATACAGGACAGGAGAACCAGGTCTATTAAGACTATCTGGGAGATGACTTCTTTTATTTCCAGCGTGTATCTATTAATATTATCCTTTTAATGACATGCAATGCCTTCAAGTGTACAGCAACACAGAAAACTGTTCTGTATTGTATATTAGTGTGTTTAATTTTGAGACAATTGTCTTGAAAATTTTAAGATGTTTACCTGATCACACATTTTATGGTACTTCCCAGTTCATATAAATGGGATATTTTATCATTGAAAATTGAAACAGAAGTTGAAAATCAACAAAATACCAGTCTTTGAGTCAAAACTCAAGTTCTAACTTCTGTACACATAATGATATCTAGCCCCAGATCTCAAAGCACTTCATAAATGTGGTCAGTATCACTATTATCAGATGGGAGAAACTGAGACACAGGGCAGCAAAGTGATTTACTCAGCAGGCTAGTTGTAGAGCCAGGAATAGGTTCCCTGAGTCCCACTTTAGTGTTTGAGTAGCAGCCGTGTTAGTCCACAAAAAGAAAAGGAGGACTTGTGGTACATTAGAGACTAACAAATTTATTTGAGCATAAGCTTTTGTGAGCTACAGCTCACTTCATCGGATGCATTCAGTGGAAAATACAGTGGGGAGATTTATATACACAGAGAACATGAAACAATGGGTGTTACCATACATACTGTAACGAGAGTGATCAGGTAAGGTGAGCTATTACCAGCAGGAGAGCGCGGGGGGAGGGGGGTGGAACCTTTTGTAGTGATAATCAAGGTGGGTCATTTCCAGCAGTTGACAAGAACGTCTGAGGAACAGCGTGGGGGGAGGAGGGGAGGAATAAACATGGGGAAATAGTTTTACTTTGCGTAATGACCCATCCACTCCCAGTCTTTATTCAAGCCTAAGTTAATTGTATCCAGTTTGCAAATTAATTCCAATTCAGCAGTCTCTCGTTGGAGTCTGTTTTTGAAGTTTTTTTGTTGAAGAATTGCCACTTTTAGGTCTGTATTCGAGTGACCAGAGAGATTCAAGTGTTCTCCAACTGGTTTTTGAATGTTATAATTCTTGATGTCTGATTTGTGTCCATTGATTCTTTTACGTAGAGACTGTCCAGTTTGGCCAGTGTATATGGCAGAGGGGCATGGCTGGCACATGATGGCATATATCACATTGGTAGATGTGCAGGTGAATGAGCCTCTGATATTGTGGCTGATGTGATTAGACCTTATGATGGTGTCCTCTGAATAGATATGTGGACACAGTTGGCAATGGGCTTCGTTGCAAGGATAGGTTCCTGGGTTAGTGGTTCTGTTGTGTGGTGTGTGGTTGCTGGTGAGTATTTGCTTCAGGTTGGGGGGCTGTCTGTAAGCAAGGACTGGCCTGTCTCTCAAGATCTGTGAGAGTGATGGGTTGTCCTTCCGGATAGGTTGCAGATCCTTGATGATGCGCTGGAGAGGTTTTAGTTGGGGGCTGAATGTGATGGCTAGTGGTGTTCTGTTATTTCCTTTGTTGGGCCTGTCCTGTAGTAGGTGACCTCTGGGTACTCTTCTGGCTCTCTCAATCTGTGTCTTCACTTCAGCAGGTGGGTATTGTAGTTTTAAGAACGCTTGATAGAGATTTTGCAGGTGTTTGTCTCTGTCTGAGGGGTTGGAGCAAATGCGGTTGTATCGTAGGGCTTGGCTGTAGACAATGGATCGTGTGGTGTGGTCAGGATAAAAGCTGGAGGCATGTAGGTAAGTATAGCGGTCAGTAGGTTTCCGGTATAGGGTGGTGTTTATGTGACCATCGCTTATTAGCACCATAGTGTCCAGGAAGTGGATCTCTTGTGTGGACTGGTCCAGGCTGAGGTTGATGGTGGGATGGAAGTTGTTGATATCATGGTGGAATTCCTCAAGTGCTTCTTTTCCATGGGTCCAGATGATGAAGATGTCATCAATATAGCACAAGTAGAGTAGGGGCGTTAGGGGACGAGAGCTGAGGAAGCGTTGTTCTAAGTCCGCCATAAAAGTGTTGTCATACTGTGGGACCATGTGGGTACCCATAGCAGTGCCGCTGATTTGAAGGTATACTTTGTCCCCAAATGTAAAATAGTTATGGGTGAGGACAAAGTCACAAAGTTCAGCCACCAGGTTTGCCGTGACATTATCGGAGATACTGTTCCTGACGGTTTGTAGTCCATCTTTGTGTGGAATGTTGGTGTAGAGGGCTTCTACATCCATAGTGGCCAGGATGGTGTTTTCAGGAAGATCACCGATGGATTGTAGTTTCCTCAGGAAGTCAATGGTGTCTTGAAGATAGCTTGGAGTGCTGATAGCGTAGGGCCTGAGGAGGGAGTCTACATAGCGAGACAATCCTGCTGTCAGGGTGCCAATGCCTGAGATGATAGGGCATCCAGGATTTCCAGGTGGTCACATTGCTTACACTATAGATATTTTTACATAATTCTAAAAGTACACTTATAGTAAATATTCTTTTTCTTTGCAGGTTATTATGACAACACAATATTTCACAGAGTTGTGCCTGATTTTATAGTGCAAGGGGGAGATCCCACTGGTACTGGGTCAGGTGGAGAGTCAATCTACGGGCTCCCCTTCAAGGTAGGTATCTGTATAGTTCGTTTTTAATTACTGTATATTCATTTGCAAGTGATTTTACGAATAGCAGAGATTGCTAAAACAAAGCTCACACAAGAAATTAATATTTTCTCATGTACAGTGATTGCTTGCACATCTTGTGTTTCCATTTTTGCATGTGCATTTTTTCATGCACAGTTCCAAAATCTGTCTGTATTGTACCCAGGGTACTAATATAATGTGTTAGCCTATTTGCAAAAATTGCATGAGGAAAAGTGAAAATAAGGTACAGTAAGAGAGCATGAAGAAAAGTGGAATCAAAAGGGTGAAATGAGTGTAAAAATTGTGTCAGTTATTTAAATGTAAAAACATCAGTGAAGTGATTTCAGTGTTTTTCCTACTAGATATTCAATAGAGCAAAAGGAGATCAGAAAGCACCAGGTAAACTTGTGTGGAACATTACAATAAAAGGAGAGTCAATAGCTTTCAGATATCTTCATCTTCTCTTGCCCAGATTGCAATTACTGAATAATGCTTTCCAACACTCGTTGTGCTAGTATTCTGGCAGCAGCAAATATTCAAAAGTATGGACAAATATTTGCATGTGCCAAAGTTAGATACAGAAATACTCTTATACTTGTGCAAGTTTAGATCTGATGAGCATCCATGCACAGCCCTGTCTTAAACATATGTTCACTGGGGTGTTTGCACACACAAGTTAGAAATCAGGAATGTAGGCTTGGAAGGTCTTCTAGTCCATTGCCCCCACACTGAGGCTAGACCAAGTTGGGCATGTGTAACTCTTCAGTGTAGTTTAGAGTATTTCTAAAATTTTACACCCAGTCTCTTAATATTTATATTCTTCATATGTTAGAAGGTACCTTTAAAAACAGACTTCCCCTTTGTACGTGTTCTTCTGTTTGTCTCTCACTTAAGCATTGCATTGAAACAGAGGGTGAACTAGATATGAGAGAGAGGTTTTGTTCTATGATTTTGTGATCTTTTAGACAACACTGAAGTGGTTAATGCTATATGTTCAATTATTTTATCACAGGGAATGTTTATAGGCAAGGCTCTGTATACTATGTGTAAACCTGCATTGCTCTTATCAACCTAGGCTTCTGGTTCTTTTCTAACCTCAGGCTTCAAAGGAGACAGTTTCTCTTCTGGATTACATGAACAAATAGATTTATACTACTAAACAGGGAACACACATGATTGGTCGGCCAGACCATTTTTTTTTTTTCAAGTTAACATTAGCATGCAACTTTTTTGTTAATTTTTTGCATGCTAACTCTGCATATAGTATTTTTTGGAAATGATTCAGTTGCATAAAGTGAGTTTCAAGCTTTGCATCCAACAAGGGCTACCATATGGAATCAGGGCTGAGCAGGATATTGTTACTGAGATGCCTCTGTGGTAGTTCTGTCCAATAGTGTGGCTGCATTGTTGATCTCCAGGTGGTAGTGATTTCTTTCCATTCTGGTCTTTGATGGGGTTTACAGACCCCACACAAAGGCTACGGAAGTGAGGGACCAGTCCTGGCCAAGAGGACTCTGCCCCTCTGCAGCTGCAGAGCATGCTCCAGATAGAGAACCTACTTAAAAGGGGACTCTGACAGTCAAGCAGCTGTGGAGGGAGATTGAAGGCAAGGCTGTCTGGAGGCAGGAAGCCAGTTTCCAGCCTCTGGGACAGAGTGGTCCAAAGGAGAAATGTCTGGACTGTGGGTAAGACCCAAATGGGAAGCCAGGGGCTTGACCCTTTTCCCTCCCCTGCTCCCTGAGAAGGGAGAATAACTGGACATTGAGAAGTGAGCTGGGAAGTACCCATTTGACTATTTAGGTTGTTGAGGCTGATTGGAAACACTTTGCTAGGGAGGGGCAGAGTGCTGTTACCATGTCCCAAACTGAAGAGTGGGAAGGTAGGAAGTAGCCCAGGGGAAGCTGGTCTGGTGTATCGGGAAGAGGGGTCTTAGACATCCTTGCACCTTCCCCTTTGGGCCCAGGACTAGACCTGGTTGAGAGGGAGAGCCCGGATCCCCTACCTTCCCCTCCTCCTATATGGCTGAGAAAACCCAGGGAGAACTGGGCAACGCTGGATTGTAACTCAGATGCCAGGCCCGCGGGCTGCCCAGCAAGGCCATCCCAGGACTTTGGGGACTTTTGAGCCACGGCTTCCCAGTCCACAAGTGAAGCCCTCTACATGATCATGCAAACAGAAGAAAAATAGCCCCTTTCCAGGGTTCCTATGCTTCTGCCACCCCCCGTAGTTGGACGCAGATCCATTCCTGTCACCCAGTTCAGCCTTATAAGACTTGGTCACAAAAAACAGCAGCTTCATACCCCTGCCCTAACCTTGGTCTTAAGGTGCATCTGTAAATTTAACAGGAGCCCACTTAAATCATGATCATGCACTGAGTCATGTGTGGGTGGGCCCCTAGCTTGTGCAGAGCCCATGTTGAAATGTGAGAGGGGGAGGAGTGGTCTCATTTTCCTTCTACCAGGATTGTTTATTTGAGTCTAATATTTCATTCTCTCTATAATTTTGAGGACTCAAGATGATTTCTCTCACAAGAAATGACCTGAGAAGGAGTTGTCACGGAAGGCTTTAAATATAGGGTTTTCTTCCTTCAGACTATTCTTAATATTGGGGAAGTTTGCCTGCTTGTGTGTGCTTAGTTTTTCTTTTTGTCCTGATAGTTCTGTGTGCACTTACGTAAATCACAAGCACCTATTTTTGCACCATCTTTACATTTTCTGTGCTCTTTGTGTATAGTCGGGGCCGCCCTGGTTCTGTAAAGTTAGTACTTCCCATAATGGAATATCGATTGGCTGTGTACTGTGCTATTGCTAACCTGTTGGGCTGGCTAAAAGAACAAGGAGAGACAGTTGGGAGAAGTGGGGGCATGGGGAGGAAATTGTATATGATCTCGTATTTGAAGATTATCATCATGTGTATGCATTGGAGGGAGGATTAATTTTGCATGGGCAACTTTTAATTTCCGCAAAAAGAAAAGGAGTACTTGTGGCACCTTAGAGACTAACAAATTTATTTGAGCATAAGCTTTTGTGAGCTACAGCTCATTTCATCAGATGCTGAGCTGTAGCTCACGAAAGCTTATGCTCAAATAAATTGGTTAGTCTCTAGGGTGCCACAAGTACTCCTTTTCTTTTTGCGGATACAGACTACAACGGTTGCTACTCTGAAACCTTTTAATTTCCTGTCTTTACATAAATGCTGATTCTGCCTCCTTTACTCATTCAGAGTAGTACCTTGCCTTGGAAGTATTGTGTCTTGCCCAGCAAATAAGAAGTGGGCCCATAATAAGGATGAAATACTGGTGCTATTAAAATCTGTTGCAGAGCTCCCATTGATTTGAATGGAAACTGGATTTGTTCTGAAATACAACATTTTGTTAGGTTAAATATATGATAGTTTTGATGTCACAAGAAAAATGCAGGTTTTAGTCTTTTTTTTTTTTTTTCTTAATAGAGATTATGTTTAAATACTAGGTTTCTTTTTTTTTTTTTCAAATCACATCTATATTATTGCTTTGAAGTTGACAAATATTTTTCCATTTCTTAGCCTGATTAACAAGAAGCTCTTAAGCTTGCACTTTTTAAAAAAAAAATCATGTATTTGTTTGCATTGTTAATCTGGGAGTAGTTTTTGATGTTTTGGTAGAATATTGTAAAATTTTACAAACACAAGAAATTCTGCCTTATGTATGTTAGGGTGGTTGTTTACTGGTTAAACAAGTGCAAAATTAAAATTGCATACTAAACAATCTTCCTTTTTATTTTGAAGGATGAATTCCACTCACGATTGCGTTTTAATCGAAGAGGACTGGTTGCTATGGCAAATGCTGGAGCTCATGATAATGGCAGTCAGTTTTTCTTTACACTGGGCCGTGCAGATGAACTTAACAACAAGCACACCATTTTTGGAAAGGTTCGCTATAGAGTTATGAATTGAATCATGGTTTTGACAGATGCAATTAAATGTACTTCTAATTCAGAGAATGTTTTCTTATTATCTTCACACAGCTCAAATGCATTTTGCTACTTTCAAAGTTATTTTAGTATTTAAAAACATCTTAGTTTTTGTCTGTCTTCCATGCCTGACCTTGATCTCAATTGGTAGTTTTCCTTAGTAGTTAATTTTCCGTGGTTTTCTACTAAATTGAACTTTTACAATACATTTTTTCAGAGTAATCTAATAAAATTAAAAGTACCCTGATTGTTGCATATAGACTGTTTTTTCTACTGTTTATAAAATGTTAATTTAGAAATGCAATTCTAATATCATTATTCAAGAACAACCCAAGCAAATGAAAGCAATAAAATGATGATGGTTTCAAGGAAATGTGGAAATTGTGAAGTAGGTTAGCTCTGTATTCTACAGAATTTTTTGTTAGTTTTATTTTCAATTCAGAGCTCCCTTCACTAACTTTTGTGGCACCTGAATAGTTCTTTAACGCAGAATCGGGTTGCTAAAGAGCAGAGTCTTGTTGCATTTAAAATATTTGTAGCCATAGGTAATGTAATGTAAATATTCCTCTTTCATATATTCAAAATTATTTACATAACAATTCCCTTAAATTTTGCAGAATAATTAACAAGCAGTCTGAAAATTGATAGGCTTTGAAATAACTAACTTTAAAAAACTTTTGTGAATTTCTTAGATCACTGGGGATACCATATACAATATGTTACGACTGACTGAAGTAGAAATTGACAAAGAAGAAAGACCACTCAATCCACACAAAATAAAAAGTAGTGAGGTATGTATGCGGTTAATTCAAATATTCTACTTTTTCTTTGTCTTCAAACAATTCTGTTCTAGTAGGATGTACTGGCATTAATTTATCTGAGTGGGTTATGTATTATTGTTGAAAAAATAATTTTCAAATTAGTGAATTTTTAAAAAAAAAGTCTTTTTTTTAAAGATGTAAGTATTCTAAATTACAGCAAAATGCTTATTAAATATTTGTATAAAATATTTAACTTTTTCCTTAGGTTTTGTTTAATCCTTTTGATGACATCATTCCAAGAACAAATAAAAAGCTGAAAAAGGACAAACCAGGGGAAGAAGTAAAAAAGTCAAAATCCAAAGGCACAAAGTAATTATACCTCATAAGTGGGCCTTTCTTTAATTTTTTACAGCTCTAATTGTAAAATTATTTCAGTCTTGTTCTATGATATGCTAATGCCTTTATAGTACCTTGTAAAATAAATGTGGTACCTGATTTTTTTTCCAAGATGGGAGGGCATAAAAACTGTTTTCATAGTTTAAGCAATTTGTCCCTTTTCCTTTATTTCTTAATGCTGAATATTATAGTTGGTAAAAAGATTGTTTACATACAGTTGCAGGTATAAGATTTCAGCATTATATGTGCCAAATTACAATTTAAAAAAACTGTTTAAAGAACAGTAAGGTTGCAAAGTGAAGCAGTCATAAATTAAGAAATGCCAGAATAAAGGGTGCATGTGCAACCTTAATATGTGCCCTTTGTATGTGTGGATTGTTATACAGTCTCTGATTTCATGATTATATACTACTTTGTCCAAGGCACAGTCACCTCATTCTGTGCATCGGACTGATGGTGTTCTCAGAATGAATCAATACTCTTGTGATTGACAAAGTTTTCTGTAGGACTCCTTATTTGGTGCAAGAATTGGAAAGTATATAGTTAATAAGGCAAGGGATTGCAAGAAAAATGGTCTTACGGTCAAGGAAATAGAATTCCATTCTGGAGAATTGGATTTTATCCCTGCCTCTGCCACAGAGTTCCTTTGTGATGTTGGGAAAGTCATTTAAACTAAAATATTCACAATTGGCCACTAATTATGTGTTTCTTCTTTTCTGGATGTCAAGTGGGAGACATTTGTTGTCAAATTTACAGAAGTGTAGAGTGCTTACAACTTCAACTGAAGTCTGGGAGATGTGTTTTGAATGTATAAAGTGCTATAAAAATGCTAGGTACTCTGGAAAGATCAGTCCTTCAGTGTCTCAAGTTTAGCACCCAAAATTAGTGGACATTTTTTGACAGTTTTAGCCTTAATATCTTTGTGCCTTGGTTCCTCAACTGTAAAATGGGCTAATACCATCACTTAATCTCAGAGTTGTTGTATTGATAAATTCATTAATATTGTGAAGCACTAAGATACTACAGTGAGAGTCCCATAGCAACATCGAAGAGAAAATTAATAGTTTTGTATTCAGTGCAGGGTTTGGATGGTGGGTATTAAAAAGGTTTGTGGCCACGTATTTTGAATGAGGAGCATAAAAAGAAATATTGAATAACTAGCTAGCCCTTCAATAAATGAGGTAGGGGTCTTAGGGAAAAAAAGCATGTGATTATGTAATTAAAAATTGTATGATTATACATACATAAGGGGGCAAATTAAGTTTGCATGGGCAACTTTAATTGTGGTATTTTCTAACTTACAAGTGCTTTGCAACCTTAACAATCTTGTAACAAGTGTTTTTTTAGTAAATTCCTCATTTGTTTGTTTTTTAAAAAAGACACCAACATGAAAAAACAAATTCTGTCATGTGGAACTATTATGTGTATTGGGTCATCAGCAAGATTCAGTTAGATCCCAGCACAAATCCCTACCACCTGAGTAACTGGTAGTAGTAGATGCCTGTTATCCTCTGTGTGGATCACGTGCGCACACACAATTTGACATTGAGTTTCACATCTATTTGCAGACAGAGAAATGTAGAAGTTCAGGACTCCTGGTTTGGATTCAGTTCTAGGTTCTGGAGGGGAGTGTGGTGTAGTGGTGTTAGATTCCTTTTGCTGTTGTCAGTGGCCTGTCTCTGTCCTCCTATCCAGTGTTCTGATCCCAGCACCTGCTTGCCTCTCCCTCAGATCCAAACCATTTCCCTGACTAGTTCCCCTCATCCCCCCAACCTGCTTGCTCCTGTCACCCGTCTTCCCTTCTGACTCCTGTAATCCCTTTGTTCTTCTTCGAGTAGCATCCTGATGGGTGCTCCACTTCAGGTGCTCATGCTCCCCCGACCCTATGATCAGAGATTTGTGGTAGAAGTCCCCTTTTGGCCTGCTCATGCACCCTGCATGTCGCTGTGCCTCGTAGTGAGGTTATATTGGGCTGCAGGGAAAAATCGCCTTCAATGCATTCTCAACTGTCTTCATCCTGAGATGAAGCGTTTAGCATGCCGTCTTAGTTTCACTTTGTATACTGAGCTAACCGAGTATGCTTAGTTTAGTTTAGACATGTTGTTGTTGTTCCCCATTTGAGGGATTATTTTGGACTTGGTTTTTGTTTCTGGGATATGGTGGGGTCCCCTGTCTACCTCTGGATTCTGGTCACTGTGAGCCTCAGCATTGTCACTTGTCACAGCAGTGGGAGATCCAGCATTGTCACTTGTCACAGCAGTGGGAGATCCAGCATTGTCACTTGTCACAGCAGTACCAAAAGTCCCACACTCTTAAGTCCACACATATTGGCAGGAGCGCTAGATCTCCTTCCAGGAAGTCTTGGTCACTGGGGACCTCAGGCCGCAAAGGGAGCGCTACTGAGGCGCCAAGTACTTCTGGAACCACAAAGAAGGAACCTGCTTCCAAGAGCCATGATATTGCTAAGAAAGGCACAATAGTGAATACCTCTTCTACTTCCAGTGACTATGCCCATTTTAGTGGACATTCCACTTTAAAGAGGTTGATGTCATCAGATCCTTCTGTACCTATCCCAGTGCCTCAGACCTTTTGCCTCTGAGTCAGGACATTCTTGTTCTGTGCACACAGGACTGGCTGCACCAACTCATATTACCAATGTACCTACCAAGGCTGACTTCCACAGGACTCTGCATGGCTCCCGCTTATTTTCCCCCACTATAGCAGGAATTTCAATACTCAAGAGTCCTCCTGGTATTGAAGGAGCCAGCACCTCTATTACTTACCAGGACCGCACATCTCTTGGTACCAAAGTCTACTAGGTTACAGTCTCAACACTTCTTCTCTGGTTTCTCCAACTTTGACCACTCAGATTGAACAATTATCACTTCCCCTGGACTATGTTCAGGATTACTATGTTGAGGATGACTCCTCCGACTCACAGATCTCTCTTTACAGATCTCCTGTCTCCTCTGAGTCATTATTCTCCTTCACATACAGAAAAAGGGGAGGATAGGCAACACTGACCTTTGACAACCTGGGGTGATAAACCATGGATGCCTCCTCTCATGCCCTGTGCTCCCGTTCAGTGATCTCACTAGGATCCCTGGGCCCTGTATTGACAACAGTTTTGCCTCTGTTTTCACTAACAAAGTCAGCTCCCAGACTGCTGCGCTGGGCATCGCAAAATGGGGAAGAGATGGCCAGCCCTCTGTGGAGATAGAGGTGGTTAGGGACTATTTAGAAAAGCTGGACGTGCACAAGTCCATGGGGCCGGACGAGTTGCATCCGAGAGTGCTGAAGGAATTGGCGGCTGTGATTGCAGAGCCATTGGCCATTATCTTTAAAAACTCGTGGCGAACGGGGGAAGTCCCAGATGACTGGAAAAAGGCTAATGTAGTGCCAATCTTTAAAAAAGGGAAGAAGGAGGATCCTGGGAACTACAGGCCAGTCAGCCTCACCTCAGTCCCTGGAAAAATCATGAGCAGGTCCTCAAAGAATCAATCCTGAAGCACTTGCATGAGAGGAAAGTGATCAGGAACAGCCAGCATGGATTCACCAAGGGAAGGTCATGCCTGACTAATCTAATCGCCTTTTATGATGAGATTACTGGTTCTGTGGATGAAGGGAAAGCAGTGGATGTATTGTTTCTTGACTTTAGCAAAGCTTTTGACACGGTCTCCCACAGTATTCTTGTCAGCAAGTTAAGGAAGTATGGGCTGGAAGAATGCACTATAAGGTGGGTAGAAAGCTGGCTAGATTGTCGGGCTCAACGGGTAGTGATCAATGGCTCCATGTCTAGTTGGCAGCCGGTATCAAGTGGAGTGCCCCAAGGGTCAGTCCTGGGGCCGGTTTTGTTCAATATCTTCATAAATGATCTGGAGGATGGTGTGGATTGCACTCTCAGCAAATTTGCGGATGATACTAAACTGGGAGGAGTGGTAGATACGCTGGAGGGGAGGGATAGGATACAGAAGGACCTAGACAATTGGAGGATTGGGCCAAAAGAAATCTGATGAGGTTCAATAAGGATAAGTGCAGGGTCCTGCACTTAGGACGGAAGAACCCAATGCACAGCTACAGACTAGGGACCGAATGGCTAGGCAGCAGTTCTGCGGAAAAGGACCTAGGGGTGACAGTGGACGAGAAGCTGGATATGAGTCAGCAGTGTGCCCTTGTTGCCAAGAAGGCCAATGGCATTTTGGGATGTATAAGTAGGGGCATAGCGAGCAGATCGAGGGACGTGATCGTTCCCCTCTATTCGACATTGGTGAGGCCTCATCTGGAGTACTGTGTCCAGTTTTGGGCCCCACACTTCAAGAAGGATGTGGATAAATTGGAGAGAGTCCAGCGAAGGGCAACAAAAATGATTAGGGGTCTGGAACACATGAGTTATGAGGAGAGGCTGAGGGAGCTGGGATTGTTTAGCCTGCAGAAGAGAAGAATGAGGGGGGATTTGATAGCTGCTTTCAACTACCTGAAAGGGGGTTCCAAAGAGGATGGCTCTAGACTGTTCTCAATGGTAGCAGATGACAGAACGAGGAGTAATGGTCTCAAGCTGCAGTGGGGGAGGTTTAGATGGGATATTAGGAAAAACTTTTTCACTAAGAGGGTGGTGAAACACTGGAATGCGTTACCTAGGGAGGTGGTAGAATCTCCTTCCTTAGAGGTTTTTAAGGTCAGGCTTGACAAAGCCCTGGCTGGGATGATTTAACTGGGAATTGGTCCTGCTTCGAGCAGGGGGTTGGACTAGATGACCTTCTGGGGTCCCTTCCAACCCTTATATTCTATGATTCTATGATTCTAAGGATACTGAGTCCTCTCAGGAAACATAGACATACACTGTCTTGTGCCTTCACTTCCTCCTCTCCAGCCAGAACCCAGAGAGGAGACGTTTGAGGAAAAAGAAGCAAGAGCTCACAAAGGTATTACACCTCATATGTGTATCTCTTCATTATTGCCAGATGAGGTAGTAATGTGTCTACCACAGTCCTTGGCAGATGAGTTTAGAGATTTCCAGAAGCTGATGAAGTATATCGCAGATACTTTTCAAATGCTGCTTGAGGAAGCCCAGGACCCCCATCATAAACTGGACATTTTACACACACCAGCTTCTCATGTGGCACTCCCTATTAATGAAGCTTTACTAGAGCTTGCCAAGACAATCTGGCAGACTCCAGCTATGCCGCCCCCCCCTCTCCTCTCACACACACACACTTGTAAAAGTGCCAACAAGAAATACTGTGTGCCAACCAAGGATTCAGAGTTCTTATTCTCACATCCAACACCAAATTCACTGGTCATGGATGCAATGAATGTATGTGGTAGACAACACAATACAAAATATACTCCCTATAACAAGGACCAGAAGTGACTAGATCTATTCGGTTGCAGGAGTTATTCCTCCACAGTGCTACAGTCCAGAATAGCAAACCATCAAGCGCTCATGTCAGAATATGACTATTTGAATTCTAACAAGTTTAACACTTTTATTGACCATTTGCAAGAAGAGCACCACAAGCAATTTTAAGGCTATCATACATGAGGGTCAGCTTCTGCCAAAGATGTTGCTGCAAGCCTTCATAGGTGCAGTTGATACAACAGCCTGGTCCATTTCTGTTGTGATTGTTATGGGCTGAGCTTCTTGGCTGCAGTTGTCAGGCTTTCCTAGGGAGTTACAGAGCACTGTAGAGGACTTCCCTTTTGATGGTCACACATTGTTTTTTGGAGTCACTGATGATTGCCTTCACACTTTGAAGGACTCAGTGGCCACACTTAGATCCCTTGAAATATATCTTGCAAATAAAAAAAATTTAGCAGGTTCCAGACATCACAAAGATCTCGCTCAATTCACTTCTCTGCTTTCTGTAGATCAATTGATGCTCTGACCAAGATGCTGAGATATTCCAAGAAAAAGCCTGCTACTACCTCCTCTTCATTTTAGCCATCTGCGACATCCAAACATTAGCTTTGATGGCCTCGTCAAGAGTCTGAACCACCTGCTCCAAATAAATCTATCTCCGCAATGTCCCATCTTCCTTCCCCACTTTGGATACCCCCCTTTTTGTAGTTTGGATCTGCATAGGAGACAACAACATCCAACACAGGGGGGTTGGGGATTGTACCATCTTGGTTATTCCAATCCATTTCACCTCCCATCCCCTTTTCCTGTCTCTTTTCAGAGACCCATCTCACAATTAGTTGCTGAGTCAGGAGGTTGTCTCTGTCCTATGCTTAGGGGTTATAGAACCACTTCCAGTTCAGCACGGGGAGGAAAGGTTCTGTTCCAAGTATTTTCTGGTCCCCAAAAAGAATGGAGGATGGAGACCAATATTAGATGTCAGATGTCTCAACAACTGCATGAAATAACGTAAATTCAGAATGGTGATCCTGACAGCTATTATTCCCCCTCTAGATTTCAGGGATTGGTTTGTGACTCTTTACCTTCAAGACACTTATTTCCACATTGAAATTCACCCCTCTCACAAGAAGTTTCTTTGGTTTATAGTCAACCTCAACCACGACTACTTTCAATACCAACTGCTCCCTTTTGGCCTCTCGTCTGTCACAAGCATATTCTCAAAGGTCATGGCAGTCCAAGCCACCCATCTACATTGTGTAGGCATAACTGTCTTCCTTTTTCTCAATGATTAGCTAGTCAGGGGCTGATCCTATCGTGTAGTCCATTGGCAGTACAAATGATGAGGTCTTTGTTTCATACCTGAGACCTCCAGATTAACCATGAAAAGTCTGTTTTGATCTTGGTTCAATGGATAGAATTTATAGGAGCCTCGACAGGTTTGCGAATCTACAGAATCTTAGTACAAAGAGTCAAGTAAGCCCTCAGACTTCAGCAGCGAATTGTCTTCAGCAGTTGGGCCATTTGGGGGTGTGTGTCTGCATGACCCAACATGTCAGATTGCATCTTCAGTATTTCAGGGGTGGCTCAAGACAGTCTACATACCAAACAAGCACAGACTTCACAAATAGGTCTCTCTTCCCCTTTGGATTCTGGACTTGCTCAATTGGTGGAAGAACTCCTCCAAAGTCTGTTTGGGGAGTTCTCTTCTTTCAACCTCCTCTGACCACCATTATCACTTCAGACAGATCCCTGTTGGGATGGGGAGTGGATCTTGGTCCACACGTCATCCAGGGCAAGTGGTCTTCCTATGAGAGTCTCCTGCATATCAACATTCAGGAGTTGAGGGCAGTCAGGAATGCTTGCTCCCATTTTCTTTCACCGAACAAAGCCAAATTAGTCAAGATCATGACAGACATTGTGTCCTGCATGTTTTACATCAATCGACATAAGGGACCATGCTCCCCCCAACTCTGTGCCAAGGAGACAAAGTTCTGAAATTAGCATGTAATGAACCTGATAGCTTCTCAGCCTCTTACCTCTCGGGTATACAGAACATCACAGCTGATCACCTTCACAGAAACTTCTCTCAGAGTTATGACTGGAAGATGGATTCACAAATGCTCCACAGCATATTTCTAACCTAGGGATTTCCAGAAGTGGATCTTTTTGCCACTGCTGCCAATGCAAAGTGCAGGAAGTTTTGCTCTGTGGGGGAAGGGGAGAGAGAGTCGTGTCTCAGTCACTGGGAAATGACTTTCTTATTCCATGGGCCAGGAGTCTTCTTTATGCTTGCCAACCAATGCCATTGATCTTGAAAGTTCTCAAAAAGGTCAAGCAGGACAAGGACTAGGTCATTTTGATTGCACTGACTTGGCCAAGGCAGGTTGGTACTCTTACCTGATTCAGTTCACTTCACTTCTCATCCACTGCTGAGATTTCCAGTTGCTTGCCACCTGTTGTCTCAGGGTGCCCCTCGACAGCCACTTCACACCAATTTGGAAGTTTTCTGACCTCAAGCAAGGCTCCTAGATGGTTCTCGGGATAGAGACTTCCCACTTAAGAGGTACAACAGGTTTTTAAATAGCAGAAAAACATCTATGAGAAGTACTTACCTTCAGAAATGGAAGAAATTTAACCTATGGTGTATCTGTTGGCAAGTGACCATTGACCATGCTTTTCTTTCCACCACCCTGGATTATCTGTTAGAATTAAAAAGATCAGGTATTGTTATGAGTTCTGTCAAGGTTCACTTGGCAGCAGTAACAGCCTTTCACTAGTCTGTGGACGATTTTTCACCACAACTTCAAGATTTCTTAAAGATTTGAATAGTTATCTATGCGTTAAGGAACCTACCCCGGTATGGGACTTGAATGTGTCCTTAATTGCCTTATGACAGACCCCTTTGAGCTACATATTCGCTATTCCACTTGCCCATGAAAACAGCTTTCTTGGTTACCATCACTTCTGCCCAGAAAGTGGGAGAATTGAGGGTTTCAATGGCAGATCTCCCCTCCCCTGCCCTGCCCCGCAGTGTTCTTCAAGAAACAGGTTTCGTTATGGTCACATCCCAAGTTTCTACTCTAAATGTCCTCTGAATTTCATCTTAATCAGACCATTCATTTACCATTGCCCGCAAAATCACATCACTCCAGACAGAAAGCTGCTTTCCATACCTTGGATGCCAGAAGGGCATTAGCCTTCTATCTAGACAGGACCAACCATTTTGAAAGTCTCCAAGACTGTTTTGATTGTGGACAGATCTAAAGGATCCACAGGCTCCACCCAAAGTCTCTCGTGATGGATCTCTGGGTGTATTATTTCATGTTATGACTCTGCCAACATTCTAAGTTGCCAGCCCATTCTACAATGTTGCAATCTATGTCTATGGCATTACTAAAGGATGTTCCAGTTGCTGACATTTGCAGAGCTGAAACCTGGATTTCAGTACATACTTTGCTTCATGCCTCTAGATCAGATGTGGCAGTTGGCAGTCCAGTTTTGTCTTCAGTATTGGATTCTGCTCTGAAGATCCTTCCTTCCTCTGGCGATACTGCTGAGGAGTCACCTGAAGTGAAGAACACATAGGGACGTTACTTGAAGAAGAAGGAGGGGTTTCTCACCTTGTGCAGTAACTGGGGTTCTTCAAGATGTGTGTCCCTATGGGTGCTCCACTACCTGCCTGCCTTCTCCCTGGTAGGACTTTGTGGTAAAGAAGGAACTGAGGGGGAAGTTCACCCACATAGTAGGGCACATATGCGGGCCAAACAGGCACTGCTATCGAGAAAATCTGATGAAAGGCCCAGAGAGTGCATGCGCATCTGAAGCAGAGCACCCATAGGGGGACACATCTTGAAGAACTCCAATTACTGCTCAGGGTGAGTAACTGTCTCTTTCCTCCCCCCCCTCTTTTCCTTATCCCATTTTTATCAGTTGGCTTCTCCTCCTAGATGCCTAGGTATAAGCAGTCTCCCTGCTCTCCGTTCCTGTGCCTTGCACCACATTGGCCTCTTGGAGCCAGGAGGAGCAATTGTGCAAACTACAATCGTTTCAGAAGCATATAACTTGGCCAAATTTGGGTGAATTTCGCTCTTGACACTAGGACAACCAACCCCCTGTTAGATATTTAGCTCCTTCTTTAAAGCAAGAAGTGCTAGAGCCTCTCAATAAAATAGTTGTAAGAATTTTTGTAACATGAGCAAAACAATGCTTATTTCCCTATTCTCTTTCTCGGAAATGTCTGGATGATTTTAGCTGAAATTGACACCCAACTACTCCTCCTGCCTTCTTCCCCCCCCCCCCCCCCCCAAAAAAAAAAAAAAAAAAGAAAGAAATCAGCTTGAGGCAGAATGGAATGCAAAATTTTTGCCCAAAAAGTTGAAGTCTGGCAAAGTTATAAGCAACTAAAAATACCTTTGTTTAATGGAGGTGAAGTAGCAAACACGTAGCTAATGGTTTAAATGAGATAACATCCAGTAAATAACTGGCATTTTATTTATTGGAATTTTGAAATTTCATATTTATTGTTTGCATATTCAAAATGTCACTGGATCAAAATGTATTTTTCGTTTTGTTTTTTAAAGAAATTTTAATTTGCTTTCATTTGGAGAGGAAGCTGAAGAGGAGGAAGTGGAAGTCAACAGAGTTAGTCAGGTACAGTTCCCAATTACTTGTATCTCTCCTTCTCTTATTCTTACTGTTTTTCTTTTGGCATCATTGTTTTATAGTATATCAGTTTGAAACCTTGAAAGTTGTTCATTTTGTAGTTTTTCTAGATTTGATCAATAACAATTTAGGGGTAGGGAGGAGCTGCATACTTAGTTTGTAGCATTCTATTCTCCGATGTTGCAGTCTTTTAAATCTTTTATATAAATTATTTTTTTGTCTTGTGTAATTTTGAATATGATTTTAGTTTTCTCACTTTTACAATTGTTTTGTTGTTTCTTTCTTTAAACACAGTATTGTTATACTTCATAGCATATTAGTGGTTCTGCCATTCAAAGCCCATATATACGGTGTGGGTGTAAACTGTGTTAAAAGAAAGTTGTTTAGCTTTCAAAAAGTTGTTTAGCATGCAAAATGAAAAATTCAAAAGTTAGGAAATGCCACTTTTGTGGATGTCTATTTAACTGCAATTCTGTCCCTTTGTGCATCTATCCTGTGCACTGAATGAGGCATGGAGCCTATGGAAAAAACAGTATGTGATCATGTAATTAAAGGCTATATCATGATGAATATGCAGAAGTAGGCAGAATTAAGGTTACACTGGTACCATAATTCAGGTTTCTCCTGACTTTCAAGTGCTTGACTTTGCCACCTAAATAAGATTTAAAAAAAAAAGTTTTGTGTCACTGTAACTGTCCGTTATGATGTACGCTGCTTGGATACACTGATCTGTTGGCTTTGTGCCAGGGAGGTCAAAGAGTCAAAAGGGACATTATCCAAAAAGAGCAGTGTATTTCTGAAAACCTCGGGTAATATTTTCAAATGTGGATAGCTAAATTAACCATTGCCTCAAGTTCCTCTCCTACATCCTCCTCCTCCTCTCCCACCAATCTAGCTTCCACCCTTTCCACTCATCTAAAACTGCTCTCCTCAGGATCACTAATGATCTCTTCTTGGCCAAATCTCAGGGCCTCTACTACATCTTCATCCTTTGACTTCTCTGTGTTTTCATCTTGCTGATCATAGCTTTATTCACAAAGGCCTACCCTCCCTTGGGTTTTACAATACTGTCTTCACTGGTTTTCCTCTTACCTCTCTGGTTCGTCCTTTTGCACATTTGGCGAGTCCCCATCCTCCTTTCTGCCATTCTGAGGATCGTGTTCCTTAGGGTTATGTTCTAAGTCCTATCCTCGTCTCTCTTTTTGGTGGGTCTTACCACTTATAGAAACTCAGCTATCATCACTATATTGACAACTCACGTATCAACTTTTACATTCCTGATCTATATTTTTCCATTTCATCTTTCATCTCAGACTGTCTCTTTGACACCTCCACCTGGATGACTTGCCATCAGTTTAAGCTTAAAATGTTCCAAACTGATCTCCTCATTCTTCCGAAATTCTCCCTCCTTTTCCCCTCATTGTCACTGTTTTCAACATCATCATCCTTTCCTTCACTCAGGGCTGATGCCTGTCTTTAGTGACTACTGCTCCTTCATCGTATGTATTCAGACTGGCTGAGCTGGACTACATCTAGTGAGAAGGAATGAGAGTTGCACTAGTTAGCATTCTTCTTTATTTGTAAATGAGGGAAAACGCCACATATAGACCTGGTTGCCTACCTATTAAATAGGTGATTTTCTCTAGCTCTGCATCACCATAGCAGAGAAATGGGCATTCTTTCACTTTTGGTAGTTAGGTCTAGCCACATAACTTTCTTTCTCTGCCCCTTTGTCTTGGCTGAATCATGGGCAACCAGACCTAGTATTCAGAGCCAGAGTCTGCAGTCATGAGATGGGAGTCAAGTATCGGCTGGCTCAGGATACCGGGGGAAAGGGAGCAGGAAACAAACTGGAGATCTGAACCACGAGTCAGGAACCAGAGTCAGGCTGGGTTGAGGTACCAGGGGGTAAGAGACAGGAGACAAAATGAAGATCAGAACCATAAGTCAGATGCAAGGAGTCATGCTAGGTCAGGATGCCAGGAAATCAAGCTCGGGGAGCAGGAAGCACAAAGAGCACAGTCTAGAACATGGTGGAACCCTGTTGTTCGGACAGTTTTCTGTTCCTGCTGCTGGCTTAAGTAGGTCAGCCAGCACTCACCAATAGGACCTCATGGGTGGAGCGTCAAATTGGGGCTGAGCATCATGGGTCCCAGGTAAGCAATTGTCAGCCGTCTGCCAGGTGGCGAGTTGGAGCGTGGCCACTCCCATGAACCCAGCAGACCCAGGTTCCGAGACCTGTGGTTCATGGCATCCTGCTAGCTGGAGTCCTTAAGAAAATTGAGGTCCGAGCTGAGCGTGGCAGGATGTCAGGTTCTAAGATACTGCATGCAGATGTAGGGCTATTCTGCTAACTGATTTGGTAGCCAGATAGTGTGGGTCCTGTTGGCTTCAACTCAAGAGAATAAAAAGGTAGACTGTTGAAGAGACTGTTTTGTATTAATTTTGATGGAATATATGTGCCCAGAGAGTCAAGATGTTAACATGACCCTGTCACCGTGTATAATACCAAACAGTTAAATGTGGTTCGGGGTTTTCAGTACTGAGGCCTCAGTCTGCTTAGTACCATGGCAAGCACACTAGAAAATTCATGCCAAAGTTCGGAAGTTTATTGATCAGGATATGTAAGAGAAGAAGAATCAGAAAAAGTCATAGATATTTTGGAATTGAAATTGAATGCTTATGCAGAACAAACTAAATCAAAACCTGTTTAAGTCCGCATCTCTCTCTGAAAAAGTATCAATTTGGATCTCATTTTGTCAGGCAGTCCTTCTTGGTGGGGAAGAAAGGATTAGTTTGTTGTTCACTTCTGAGGTGTGAATGTCAGTCATCTTCTCTGCCTTTGACAAAACAGATACAAGGAGGAAAAAGAGAGAGTATAATAAAGATGAGGGAAATATGGGTTTTATTGATTGTCAGGATACCAACCACCTGGTCAGGCATGGCACTCTGACCCGGCACTAGAACAGTTGTTCCTGTGGACTCAGGCTCACTTTCCTGGTCTGGGATGTCATCTGTCTTGTCTGGTCAGATCAATCTCCTTACAGGTTTTTCTCAGGCTTGTCAGTGCTGGATGAGCAGTCTCATCTCATTGTGCTGGTACTGTGTGGTACGGTAGGTTTAATGATTGTGTGAGAAGCTGAGAGAGATAAGATAGGAGGAAAATAGTGGGGGATGAACATAGGAAGGGAGGACAGAGCAGGGTCTCGGACAGAGCAGAGTCTCAGGCTGGAGTTTTTACTAGTCTACTCATGATGGCCAGGTGTCCCGACTAGCACCCTGAGGTCTGGGTACCGCATTGATGTGATGATGCATGAATGAAAGAGTACCACCATGGACATTTCAGAGCCCAGTTCAACAAGGCAGGAGGAGGAAAGTGGGAGCGAGGGTGCTGAGGAGGAGGAAGACACCCCGGCATCCCTAGATGCATGCAGCCAGGAGCTGTTCTCAAGCCAGGAGGAAGGTAGCCAGTCGCAGCGGCTGGTGCTTGGGGAAGGACAAACACCAGAGGAGGTGCGCGGTAAATGGCTTTTATTTTGGGAAGGAAGCTATTCGGTGCGGGCTTTTGGGGCGAGGAGGGTTAGGGCTGCATGCATGCCGAGATGCAGAATAGCGCGTTGATGTGCTCTCTCACATCACAGTAATCGACTTCAGTGACCTCTACAGAGGTCTCATCCAGAACCGGTGCAATGCACTTGCGCAGGTTCCTTGGAAGCGCTACTGTGCTCTTCGTCCCAGTCAGGCTAACAAGTCCATGCCACTGTGCCGTGAGAGGCGGGGGGACCATTGCTGCACACAGGCAAGCTGCATATTGGCCAGGGCAGAAGCCGCATTGTAGTAGAAGACCCTCCCTTGCTTCCGAGGTAACTCTCAGCAGCGAGATATCTTCCAGGATGAACTCCTGTGGAAAATGTGGGGACAGTGTTCAGTGTGGGGCCCCCTGCAGCTGTTGGCTGTCCCTAGGCACAGAACCGCAGAGGACAGTACGGCTGTGAAAGAATCAGTTCCCCTCGACCCTGTGCTTACTCACCATTTTGGGGCTCCTGTGGGTTATGTGAGCTTGCTTTGGGAAGGGCAAATTATGCTATTGTTAGACTGTGTTCGTCTTTAAGTACGGGTGAATCATTGCTCTGTCTGGTGTGAACAATGCTGCCTCTGTTAGGTGTTGCATTTTGCCTTTACAGATGCAACCTTGAGATCTCAGCCGTCTGTGTTATCACCGGCCAAAAGACTCCAACGAATTAGGAAGAGGCCACGTAAAAGCAAAGAAGACATGCTGCATGAAGTCTTGCAGCAGTCCCTTAATGAAAATCAAAAAGTGCAGGAGTGAAAGGAGAATGAAACCCCATCACCATGCAGTATAGCCAGCCTGAAGTGCAGCACTTCTTGCACAGCACTCCAGACAGGAAGGCTGAGTATGAGAACAGGACATACGCAAATCTGTGATTGAACTGTTACCCACCCCACCCCCTTGCCCTTTCTGTTTCCCAAGCAGTTGTGTTTCTTTTCAGTAAATGAATTATATTTTAAATAAATGGCTTTTTTGGCTTTGAAAACTTCTTTTATTGTATTAAGTAAAAGATACCTTAGCCCGGGAAAGCAACAGGCACTGCAAGTCAGTGTAGCAAGCACAGATTCCTACTAACATTGGAACCACTGTACTTCACTCCCATGCAGGGCACCAAATATTACTGGAGGCTTTCGGCCTCAAATTGCTCTCTCAAGGCATCCCTGATCCTTGCAGCTCCGTGCTGGGCCCCTCTAATAGCCCTGCTCTCTGGCTGTTCAGATTCAGCCTCCAGGTGTTGAACCTCCGAGTTCCATGCCTGAGTGAATCTTTCACCCTTCCCATCACAAATGTTATGGAGGGTATAGCACGCGGATATAAGCGCAGGGATGTTGTCATTGGCCAGGTCCAGCTTCCTATACAGAGAGCGCCAGCAGCCCTTTAAACTGCCAAAAGCACGCTCCACAGTCATTCTGCACTGGCTCAGCCTGTTGTTGAACCGCTCTTTGCTACTGTCAAGGCTCCCGGTGTAGGGTTTTATGAGCCACGGCATTAAAGGGTAAGCGAGGTCTCCAAGGATCACAATGGGCATTTTGACTTCCCCTGTGGTGAACTTCTGGTCCTGGAAAACAGTCCTGGCTTGCAGCTTCCTGAACAGGCCATGTTCTGAAAGATGCGTTCATCATGCACCTTTCCAGGCCAGCCTGCGTTAATGTCAATGAAACGCCCACAGTGATCCACAAGCACCTGGAGAACCATCGAGAAATACCCCTTCCGATTAATGTACTCAGAGGCTAAGTGGGCTGGTGCCAGAATTGGAATATGCATCACATCTATTGCCCCTCCGCAGTTAGGGAAACCCATTTGTGCAAAGCCAGCCACAATGTCATGCACATTACCCAGAGTCACAGTTCTTCTGAGCGGGATGCGATTGATGGCCCTGTAAACTAGCATCAACACAATTCCAGTGGTCGACTTTCCCACTCCAAACTGGTTAGCAACAGATCAGTAGCTGTCTGGAGTTGCCAGCTTCCAGATTGCAATAACCACCCGCTTCTCCACCGGCAGGGCAGCTCTCAATCTCATTTCCGCAGGATGGGGGCAAGCTCATCACACGGTCCCATGAAAGTGGCTTTTCTCATCCAAAAGTTCTGCAGCTGCTGCTCATCATCCCAGACTTGCAGGACAATGTGATCCCACCACTCAGTGCTTGTTTCCCAAGCCCAAAAGTGGCGTTCCACGGTGGTGAGCATGTCCATGAATGCCACAAGCAATCTCGTGTCATATGTGTTACATGAGTCGATATCGTTGGACTCCTCGCTGTCAGTTTGTAGCTTAAGGAGTAACTCGACTGCCAAACGTGACGTGCTGGCGAGACCCATCAGCATATTCCTCAGCACATCGGGATCCATTACTGCAGACCAAAAGGGAAGACAGAAAGCACAGTACAAAAAACATTGAAAGAAGGTGCCAAATGTGGACAGAAGCACAGGGATTGCTGGGATGCATCACGGGGCATTGGGACAGGACCCAGAATGCCCCACATCCCCTTCCCACAAGCCACAGCTCCAGAATGGGAAGAGGTGCTCTGTGGGATAGGTGCCCATAATGCACCACTCCCAATGTCGCTGCAAGTGCCGCAAATGTGGCCACGGCAGTGCACTTGCAGCTGACTGTGTGAACACACTGTAGTGCTTTCCCTATTGCACTCTCCGAGGGCTGGTTTAACTCACAGCACTCTACATCTGCAAGTTTAGCCATGCCCTAAGAAGAAGGGACTTGTTGGAACAAATAACTTTTCACATAGCTAAATGGGTAAAAAAAAGTCTGACTTCCACATCATACAAAGTTGAGGGCGTCGACAGGGATTAATTCAGGATAAAAAGTTAAATCTTCAGATGTGACCTTTCTGACGTTCTTTTCTTCATTGAGGATGGGCTCAGTGGCACCTTCCTGAGGCTTCAAGCAGCGGATATTGAGTCCTTAAAGTACTACATTTCAGAAATTATATGCTGAATAAAGGCTCCACTGTCTGTCAAACCTTAGTTCACATTCACGGCTGTCTCTTCGGTTGAGAAGGGAATGCTTTCCTACTTGAACCTTTGTATATAAGGACCTGGGCGTGTAGTCAGATCTTTCGATTTGCTCTGTCAGGTTTTATGGATACTACCTTCAGTAGATGGTTCCTGCATGCTACACTCTGAGGAGTTTAATCTCTGTCTGTCTGTTCTAGTGATGGATAGTGCTGCTATAAGTGGCAACTGTCTGAATTGGCATGGAGAGATGACAGACTTTCTTACCTGTCTGGTTACCCAAGTTTGTCTACACCAGCTGGGGTATCCCACTTTTCTATTGTATTGTGTTGATGGCAGTGGGACTGTTTCTCTGAAACTGTTATGATGTAATTTTTTAGATTTAATAGCATTTTTAGTGCTGAAAGAGCTATTAAATTTGTAGACTCAACTAGCCAGTCCCCTTGAAAGGAAGAGTGATCTCACAATAACTCCCTTTTTGCTTCTCTCTCCCTTACTTCTTGGGCTAAAATTAACAGGAAATAAATTACAATTTTTACCAGAGTCCCCTCTCTTCACTTCCCACTCTCCTAAATACGGTTGTGTAACTTTTATTTTATTTGTTTATATTTTTATAGAGCATGAAGGGAAAAAGTAAAAGCAGTCATGACTTGCTGAAGGATGATCCACATCTAAGCTCAGTTCCTGCTGTTAAAAGGTGAATACAATAGTTTTAATCTACAGAACTGCTTCAGTTTCAATATGTTAGATCTCATTGGCACCAGGCACTTTCATTTTATCCATTGCTTTTTCTGAGTAACAGTTCTCCCCATACAGGGTTTCATGAATAAAACTATTTTGTCATTAAATTCAAGTCATTGTTGGTGTGCCAAAATGTTTCCCATCACCAGAGACATGATGAGAGAGGGCTGGGAAAGAACCTTCTTGTTGGCTTGGCGCACTTCATCAAGTCTTGGCCTTTGGGATTTCTTTAAAGAAATTGCACTGAATGCTCATATTATAATACATGTTTACAGTTTAGAAAACCAGATATTGGGAGATTATATATGATTAGTAAAAATATCTATTAATGCCTGATCTGTGCAAGATTGCCCATCAGTCAATAATAAATTTATTTATTTGTAGATGAATGGTAAAGATTGGTTGGAGACTAAAGAGTTTAGGAATAGGGAGTAATAGAGAAGGGAAAGAAAATAGATAAGAATCACAGGAAGAACAACAGATTGTCGCTGTTCTCCTCCCCTAAATCCCAATAAATCCCATAAAATGTGCAATTAGAGAGAAGGCTGCCCTAGATGCCAACTACTCACGCTACAAGTCCAGGAATGGTTTATATGTGAGATCATAGATGTCCATCTTACTAGTATGGATAAAGGAAGTTTGGGTTTTTTGTTTTTACATTTCATTCTAGTATACCCACTAGTCCAAAAATCAACAGATGACATAGTTTTGCTTTTTTATGTTTTCAGTAGAATTCTTTTGACTGCCATTATTGCTTTCAGGAGCTACCTCTTTTCATGCTTATTCAAAGTAAGTGTAGATGAGGTATCCTGCTACTTCATCTTTGTCCAAAGTGGTCTCTAGGACCACCATAATTTCTCTAAAGGGTTATACCAGGGGTCAGCAACTTTTCAGAAGTGGTGTGCCGAGTCTTCGTTTATTCATTCTAATTTAAGGTTTTGCATGCAGTAATACATTTTAATGTTTTTAGAAGGTCTTTCTATAAGTCTATAATATATAACTAATCTATTGTTGTATGTAAAGTAAATAAAGTTTTAAAAATGTTTAAGAAGCTTCATTTAAAATTAAACTAAAATGCAGATATTATCAGTTTAGTGTGATCCTTGCCCTTGCTTTTCCTTGCTGAGTTTTTCAATGTCTGGCACGTATTTGGATACTCTAAGCTGCACACAGGCTTCTGAGTGATCAGTTGTTAGCCGGCTCCGAGAGGGACAGAGGACAGTTTTCATGTGTGAAAATACCTGTTCACACAGGTATGTGGATCCAAATGCTGAAAGCATTGCAAACACAATTTTCTTCAGACAGTTAAATTTCACTGGCAGGGATGTCCTGCAGGTCAGAACAGAGGCCCCATGATCTCTCTTGGTAGCTTTAAGTGTACTCCGCAGATCTCCAAAGTTTGATGCCCACAATTCTGAGCTTTTTAACTGAATGAGCTGCATTTCGAAATACAGACAAATCCAAGTTGCTTTCGTTGAACTTTTCAGGTTTAATTAGAAAAGAAAGCATTGGGCCAAATCGCTGGAAATCTTGAAATCTGTCAGAAAATTCTGATTCCAGTTCTTGTATGTACATTCTAATCTCAACATCAAATGCAGTGCGCTGTTCCACGTGACATGAAAGTGGTGTAAGCAGCAAATCAGGACTTAAATATCCCAGTACAGTGGTGCTGGAACAATTTTTAAGGTGGGAGTGCTGAGCTGTGCCCCCTCTTGCCCCTATCTGCACCCCTCACTGCCACAGGCTGGGCCAGTGGGCCAGATGGGACCCCAGAACAGCAGCAGAGCCCCCCGGCCAAGTGGTCTGCACCTGGGATCGTCAGCAGGCTGAGCAGGGCTGGCAGATAGAACCCCGGCTAGCTGGGGGCCAGCGGCCGGTACCTCAGGCCAGCAGCGGAGCCCCTGGGACCGATGGCCGGGACCCGGGGTCAGCAGCGGGCTGAGCGGGGCTGGTGGACGGAACCCTAGCTGGCAGCGGGCCAGCGGCCGGTACCTCAGGTCGACAGCGGGCCAGCGGCCGGTACCCCAGGTCGGCAGCAGAGCCCCTGGGACTGGTGGCCAGGACCCAGGCAGTGTGAGTGCCACTGAAAATCAACTCACATGCCACCTTTGGCATGCGTGCCATAGGTTGCCTACCCCTGGGTTATACCCACACCATCTTCCCTCCACTTGCCTGTTGTGCTCTTCACTTGGGCCAGAATTGCTTGGTTTAAGAGCACAAAGTCCTCCAGATTCGCAGAAAATGCATACATTGCTGTTTGGTTTGGAGGTCTTGAAATGTGCTGTAGCAGAGTGTGGCAGTTCTCCCTTGGCTCCTGCCTCTGCTAAGTCCACAAAGTCACTCTGAGACCCTAGGGTTAGTATCCACTGGTGCAATTTATTCACAGGCTTGTTCCCACCACAGTTTCACCACATACAGTTAGCCCTTCACCATCTGCAGGCAGGAGGGAGGGAAGAGCTACCTCCCTGTTTCCACTCCCTGCCTTTTCCCTTTCTTTCTGCTCTTCCTCTGGCTTCCTTCCCCTGAGGCTTTTATACAGCCCCAGGCTAATTAGGCAGCAGCTATCTCTGCTTCCCCAATTAGGGCTAGGTTATCTCCAGCCAGCTCTAATTTATCCCCCTAAAGAGGAGCTGGTGTGACGGAGGGCTGAATCAGCAACCCTTTGCCCAGCACCCTATCACAGTGCTCACTAACTGAATTTACCCCTTACATGGTAGCATTGTGTTTTCTTACTGGTCTGTCCCACATTTTTCAAACTCTTCTAGCTAGTGGGTGTGACAATCAAATGGTGGGAAAATATAATCAACTGACATTATAGTGATGAGCATGGTGAAAGTGGCTAGATGGGGGGGGAACTCTGGTATAGTTTTAAATATATAACCTAAGTGAATTCGTGATTAAGATACTGCTGTACTGTTTTTAAATATGACTCTTATCAACAGATTCAGAGTGCTTTAGAGAAGGAGCTACTATCTTATGTGGATTGTCTCTCTTTTTTTCCCCCCTAGTGAAAAAGCAAATGAAGTGAGGGATTCAGACAAGGTGAGTGGCACTTCTTCCGCAAACAAAGTTTTGACTCATTGTAGATACTCATTCTATATTTCATGTGAATTATTGCTCTTAAGGGTGAGGTAATACTCTAAAGATTCAGCAGGGTAGAGTGTGACCTTGACCTGCCACACACCACCTCCCACATTCTGCATAGACTGCTGCCTGAACATTTCTGACAGCAACTTAGTGGTAGACAACGTTCCTCTAAAGTTATAAATCAGTCAAGAAGAAAAAAAATTCCTCAGAAAAAAAATTATGTAATAGAACAAATACCACAAATGAAAAATCTCCAGCCACTGAGGTGTGTGAGAATCTGAGTGGAAAGATGTATTTATAGAAACAGAATTTCAAGTAACTTTTCCTTTACTAAAAATGCCATCCATCATGGCTACAACTACACTGCATCTATGAGGATTCTCACTTCTGAGAACCAGAAACTTGAGGAATATCCTTAAGGTAAACAAACTGCAATGAACAGAAATAATACAGTCCAGAGCCAACAATGGAACATGGAGGTTTTTTAACTGCAAAAAAGCTCCTTCCTACATTTTATTATGGAGAATAAAACTTTTTGGTTGAAGTGTGGCTTTGCCTGAGTCTTTGTGCCAGGGGCAGCATATTATTGCACTGTCCCTAGAGCAAATTGTGACTTTGAGACTCCAGGCAGGGAAAAAATCATGTGCCAGGTATAGGCTTGGTAGAGTATAATTGCCCCAACATAACAATGCTGGCAGATGGGTTGGAGAAGCTTTCATGGGCAGCAGAAGATAGTAGCTCTGTACAGTCTGCTCCAGCCCACACAATTACATATGGTATGAGTGACTGGTCTTAGGCTCTCATACTCTCTTGCCATGACTTGGCCCTCAGTTTGAGCAGGAACCAGATGGAAGTAGAAAAACTTTGCACAAACAGTATTTGACCAGCTTCAACTTAAGGAACATCCATCCATACAGCATACCTTCTTAGGGGAGGCTGAACTCCCCCACTCCTTTTGGAAAAGGTTCCAGAATAGAATCATAGGGTTAGAAGGGACCATAAGGGTCAACTAGTCTAACCAAGAGGCAGGATTTGTTATGTCTAAACCATCCAATACAGATGGCTATCCAGCCTCCTTTTGAAAACCTCCAGTGAAGAAGCTTCCAGAACCTCCCGAGGCAGTCTGTTCCATTGTCCTACTGTTCTTACAGTTGGGAAGTTTTCCCCTGTGATTTAATCTAAATCTGCTGTGCTGTAATTTGAAATCATTGCCTCTTGTCCTGCCCTCTGTGGCAAGAGAACAACTTTTATCCATTTTTTTTTTAATGGCAGCCTTTCAAATATTTGAAGACCAGTATTATGCCCCCCCCGCCTCCCTTCCAGTTTCTCTATGTCCTTTCTATACATTGCTGACCAAAACTGGACACAGTACTCCAGAGGCGTAACCAGTGCTGAGTTGAGCAGTACTATCACTTCCTGTGACTTACATGCTATGCCACTGTTAATGCAACCTAAAATTGCATTTGCCTTTTTTTTTTTGGCAACACCATCTCATTGCTGACTCATGTTGAGGCTGTGATCCACCACAACTCCTTCTCAGCAATGATGCTGCCAAGCCAGTTTCCCCCCCATTCTGTATTTGTGCATTTGGGTTTTCTTTCCTAAGTGTAGCACCTTGCATTTGTCTTCGTTGAATTTCATTTTATTATCTGTACCCCAGTTCTCCAATTTCTCAAGATCCCTCTGAATTTTAGCTCTATCCTCCAAACTTGATCAGTATGCTCTACCTACATCTAGGTCATTAATAAAGATGTTAAACAACACTGGACCCAGAACAGATCCCTGTGGAGCCCCCTTGAGACCTTCCTCCATTCTGACATCATTCCATTAATAGTTACTCTGTTTGCAGTTGTTTAACCAGTTATGTATCCACTTAATAGTAGTTCTGGCGATCCCACATTTCTCCAGATTATTTATCAGAATGTCATGTATATTATGGTATATTATGTCTACTGCTTTCCTCCTATCGACCAAACCAGTTACCTTGTCAAAGAAGAAAATCAAGCTGATTTGTTCTTGGTAAATCCAAGTACTGAGTCCAAAACGTGATTCCCTTCTGGAGGCCAAATCCAAACAATAATGCTTTATAAATGTATGGAGAAAGGATCCTGTCACAGCTTTGCAGATATCTGAAAGAAAAATACCTCTGAGATAGGCAATAACAGCAGCCTTGACGTGGCTTTCCAGCTTCAGGCCAGCCAGGTCATATCAAAAAAAAAAAAGAGAGATCCACTTGGATCCTTGTGATAACCGCAATACCCAGAAAATTGTTAACAAAAGGAAAAAAGTTGGGAGCACTTTCCAAGCCTTTTACTGCACTCCAAATAGAACCCCCACGACCGTATGATGACATGACATGCTTATGAAGGTGTTCCTGGGATGAGCATGCATGTATGTGGGGAAAGTTGGCAGGATAGCAGGCCCATTAAGGTGGACTTCCAACATAATTATGGGGAGGAATCTCAAATGAGTTTGAAACATCACTATATTTTTGTAAATTTATTATAAGATGGGTCAGTCATTGGGCCTGTAGCTTAGTCACTCTTCAAACCAAAGCCACAGCCACTAGGAAAATGACCTTGAATTTAAGAAACTTAAGTTCAGAGGAATCAGGTAGTTCAAAAGGAGCTTTTGTCAGGATCAGTATCCCATGACACACGTTTTTTAATGGGAGCTTTGAAAAATGTCAAGCCCTCCATGAAACTGAAGAGGGTACAGAGATACTTGTTCATTTTTGGCCAGCTCATGATAGGTGGAACTACCAGCCACATGACCTGCATGGAGTTATCTTTTAATCTGGTCTTAAAATAGAAAGTTGAGACATCAAAGTGAGAATCCTGTTAGAGGTATCTCCAGAGAAGCAGGTACATCATTTTCATTAACATATATAACAAACCCCTAGAACCCTGAGCAGGGGTATTCTATCTGCTACCCAAGATCCATAAACCTGGAAATCCTGGATGCCCCATCTCAGGCATTGGCACCCTAATAGCAGGATTGTCTGGCTATGTAGACTCCCTCCTCAGGCCCTACGCTACCAGCACTCCTAGCTATCTTTGAGACAAAACTGACATCCTGAGGAAACTACAATCCATTGGTGATCTTCCTGAAAACACCATCCTAGTCACTATGGTTGTAGAAGCCCTCTACACCAACATTCCACACAAAGATTGACTACAAGCCGTCAGGAACAGTATCTCCGATAATGTCACGGCAAACCTAGTGGCTGAACTTTGACTTTGTCCTCACCCATAACTATTTCACATTTGGGGACAATGTATACCTTCAAATCAGTGGCACTGCTATGGGTACCTGCATGGCCCCACAGTACGCCGACATTTTTATGGCGGGCTTAGAACAATGCTTGCTCAGCTCTCATCCCCTAATGCCCCTACTCGTGCTAACTGATGACATCTTCATCATCTGGACCCATGGAAAAGAAGCCCTTGAGGAATTCCACCATGATATCAACAACTTCCATCCCACCATCAACCTCAGCCTGGACCAGTCCACACAACAGATCCACTTTCTGGACACTATGGTGCTAATAAGCGATGGTCACATAAACACCACCCTATACGGGAAACCTACTGACCGCTATACTTACCTACATGCCTCCAGCTTTTATCCTGACCACACCACACGATCCATCGTCTACAGTCAAGCTCTACGATACAACCACATTTGCTCCAACCCCTCAGGCAGAGACAAACACCTGTAAGATCTCTTATCAAGCATTCTTACAACTACAGTACCCACCTGCTGAAGTGAAGACACAGATTGAGAGAGCCAGAAGAGTACCCAGAAGCTACCTACTACAGGACAGGCCCAACAAAGGAAATAACGGAACGCCACTAGCCATCACCTTCTGCCCCCAACTAAAACCTCTCCAGTGCATCATCAAAGATCTGCAACCTGTCCTGAAGGACGACCCATCACTCTCATAGATCTTGGGAGACAGGCCAGTCCTTGCCTACAGACAGCCCCCCAACCTGAAGCAAATACTCACCGGCAACTACACTACAAAACCACTAACCCAGGAACCTATCCTTGCAACAAAGCCCATTGCCAACTATGTCCACATATCTATTCAGGGGACACCATCATAGGGCCTAATCACATCAGCCACACTATCAGAGGCTCGTTCACCTGCACATCTGCCAATGTGATATATGCCATCATGTGCCAGCAATGCCCCTCTGCCATGTACATTGGCCAAACTGGACAGTCTCTACGTAAAAGAATCAATGGACACAAATCAGACGTCAAGAATTATAACATTCAAAAAGCAGTTGGAGAACACTTCAATCTCTCTGGTCACTCGATTTCAGTCCTAAAAGTGGCAATACTTCAACAAAAAAAACTTCAGAAACAGACTCCAACGAGAGACTGCTGAATTGGAATTAATTTGCAAACTGGATACAATTAACTTAGGCTTGAATAGAGAGTGGGAGTGGATGGGTCATTACGCAAAGTAAAACTATTTCCCCATGTTTATTTCTGCCCTCCCCACCAACTGTTCCTCAGACATTCTTGTCAACTGCTGGAAATGGCCCACCTTCGTCATCACTACAAAAGGTTTTATTTTCCTCTCCTGCTGATAGTAGCTCACCTTACCTGCTTACTGTTGTTACAGTGTCTATGGTAACCCATTGTTTCATGTTCTCTGTGTACATAAAATCTCCCCACTGTATTTTCCACTGCATGCATCCAATGAAGTGAGCTGTAGCTCACAAAAGCTTATGCTCAAATAAATTTGTTAGTCTAAGGTGCCACAAGTACTCTTTTTCTTTTTATGTATAAAAATTTATAATATTTATAAAAAGTAATTGTTTATATTTGCAACATGCCAGTGTGACACTTGCATCACAGATATGCGTTTTCATACTGTGCAAAGAAGCACTGTGGATATATAGAACCACCTCCCCTTCCATTCAGGATTGTATAAAAATCCTGTGTTATGTAATACACAGTAATTGTTTACATGGAAAATTAATATTAAGAAAATATTTAATTTGTCTTTTAATAAAGTTTAGAATCTGGAATCAGTTAAGATACCCTGGTTTCAGACAGATCCCAAGGGGTCCACAGACCACAGTTTAAGAATAAATGATTTAGGATATTAAATAGTGTGGAGTTATTTAATATTTAAATACCTGTATTTGTGACTGTAGCTCTGAAAAATGTATGTCCTTTGTTGATACTACTGGTTCATCTTCTAAGGTACCTCTGAAAGATATAGAGGATATGTTCCTCGGTTTACATAGTTCATATTTTGAGGCAATTACAAAATATTAGCATATATGGGCATATAAATTATAAATGTAATCATATCCGCTCTCTTGCTGAGAAGTTGTTCCCAACTTAAAAAATCCTCTAGTAAAATAGAGCTAAAATTAAAGCTGTCTGTTTAAATCAACTTAGGAAGAAGAGGAGGAGGATGACAGTAGCGATAAAGAAGAAGGTGAAATGGATAGTGACGAGAAATATCAAGTGAAAGAACGCATAGCTAAGAAGTTGAGAAAAGATAAAAATGAAAATGTTAAGCTACCGTTTAAAGAAGAACCAGAAACTGAGAAGAAAACAACTAGCCGCAGGTAAGCAACATGCAAATTTTTCCTGATTTGAAATTTACAATAAGATGTTTAACTGCTCATCTTTAGCATTGCTTTTTACTATGCTGAAAGTTACATATATTTGAATTGCTGTAGTTTAAAAATTTGATTCTCCCTCCCCCTAAGAATTAATTGATTAACTTCAGTGATAAGCACATTTCTTAATTTTTCATCCAACAGTTGAATTAAATGTTTGATTTACTGCAGGAATTGTGTTAGGGTAATTATATAATTTGTATTAATTTCGTGTGGGCTTTTGTTGTTCCCACATACAAAAATAAGATGGCTGTGTTTAAATCATGGGATTTGTAACTTTGCTGATGTCTTTCTGATGTAATAGTTTACTATTTGATTCACCATAGAGAGTGAATTCAGCTCAGCCTCTCTCAAACTGTGGGTCAGAACCCCAAAGGGGTCGTGACCATGTTTTAATGTGGTCTCCATGGCTGGCATTAGAGTTGCTGGAACCCAGTGTTGAAGCCAGATCCCCGCCATCCAGGGCCGAAGACAGAAGGCTTCAGCCTTGGGCGGCAGGGCTCAGGTTACAGGCCCTCCACCTGGGGCTGAAGCCCTTGGGCTTCGGCTTTGGCTCCTCACCTCGGGCGGCGGGGCTTAAGTGGGCTCAGGCTTCAGTTCCCCCTGCTGTGGTCGTCTAGTAATTTTTGTTGTGAGAAGGGGTCACAGTGCAATGAAGTTTGAGAACCGCTGAGAATGTGATGTGGTCAGAGATAATAGCATGTTGTAAAAAGTAGCAAGATAATGTAGGTGTATAATTAATCCACTTCATTTGTGACAAAATTTTACAGGTTTTCTAGCTAAAAACTATTAAATATGAACTCTGGAAGTTTATCTTGTAACTGAAATGTTAAGCTGTAGTGGTCCCTATTGAGAAATATATGGGCTAAATATTAAAGGCCTGTTAGTCATCTGTTGAATCCTGTTCCTATCAAGTAGAAAGAAATATCTGAAGAGTATTCATATCTCCAGTAAACCAGATCATTAAGGCTCCAAATCTGTCACGGAGGATGCAGAAGTCAGATTCCATGACCTCTGAGAGTTCTGCAGCAGCCAGTGCGACTGACCCCAGCTGTACCAGCTGCTGCTGGAGTCGCCCTGGGGCTAGCCGCACTAGCCACTGCTCAAACGCCAGGCAGCTGGCCCTGGGGACCACCCGAGTAGCAGCTGTCCCTGAGACTGCCCAAGCAGTGGCCATGGAGACCACTGGAGCAGCAGCAGTCCTGAGGGCTGCCCTAGAGGTGGCTGGAGCAGCGGCCCTGGGGGTGACCAGAAACAGTTAGCCCCTGCTGCCAGAGCAGAGGCTAGCTGTTGGACCCTGGGACCCCATAGAGCAGAGGCATCCAGAACTCCTGAGAGCAGTGGCCCCTGGGAGCTCCCCAGAGCAGCAGTGCCCTAAAATCAGCTAAGATTTAGTCAGGGGTATTTATAATAGAAGTCATGGACAAGCCAGAGTCCCTGAATTTTTGTTTATTGTACATGACTTTTACTAAAAACACCTGTGACTAAATCTTAGCCTTAGGGCTTGTCTTCACTACCGGGGAGATCAACCTGCTGCAATCGATGCAGCATGTGTTGATTTAGCAGGTCTAGAGAAGACCTACTAAATCGATGGCAGAGCACTCTCTAGTTGACTCCAGTACTCCAGCTCCCCGAGAAGAGTAAGATAAGTCGACCGGAGGAGAGCATCTCCTGTCAACGCAGCGCAGTGAAGACACTGGGGTAAGTTGACCTAAGCTATGCCGACTCCAGCTACGTTATTCAGATAGCTGGAGTAGCGTAACTTAGGTCAACTTACCCCAGTAGTTAAGAAAAGCCCTCAGTTGTTATTTATCAGAACAAGTTATACATGTGCATGTGTGTGTGTTTTTAAGCATCTGTGCCTGAGATGTACAGGGAGATATTATGCGTGGATAATATCAAACTTATTAGGAATTGTTTCAAAATACGTCAATAAATGTGTACTCTAAAGGTTCTTGACCAAATAATTTTCTCTCCACAAGTACTAATCAGCTATCATGGGACTATCTTATTTGTGTATTAAGTTGACTACAAATTAAAATTGTCCAAAAAGTGTCTTTTAATTTTAAATTCCTTCAAATTTCACTGTTTTATGTGCTCTTAATGTAGGTTTTGAAATTAAAGTAAAAACTTACCCAGCCCTGCTACCAGAAAATTGTTGATGAGTGCAGACAATAGTTGGTTTTCCTCCTTCAGTTCAGCTTCCACTCTTAACAATGGTTCTTGTGGAGCTTTGAACAAGGTGTTCTCCTTTAACTCTCATTCTCATCCTGTCTCAATTGCTCCAAAGATTGTGAAGCCACTTTAAAAGTATTTTTTGTAGAACTAGCTACATCAGTGGGTGAAGTGAGCTTCCAATATAGCTATTTAAGTAACTTATATTTGAAAGTGATGTTGGCTGTCCACAGAGTAAGGTAACACCTTAGGAAGAAGGGAACTACCAGAGCAAGAAAGCAGCCGTTCAAAAGTCATTCCTTCCCGCAATAGACACACATGTCACTTCTAATGGAATTTCTTGGGCCACTAGGACTTTTTTTTCCCTCATAGAAGCTGGAAGTTGTATAGCTGACAGTGGCAGCCTGGGAGAGGGTAGGGAAAACAGGAAATACAAAGATTCATTATACATTTGGACATTAAAATGAATTTAAAACATTCTAAATTGACAAAACAGTTCAAAATGTTTTCTCCTATTTTTTCTTAAATATTTATGAAGTGTTTTTCATAGTAGGTTATGTTCCATGAAATAGCAAACACAATTTTTTTAAAACACATGGCAGAATTACAATTATTCATTGGGTTTTTTTGTTCAGTGACCGTCAATGTGTAATTGATTTACTTAAATAAAAAATTTGCATTCTTTTTGAACTAGAACAACCCAATTTAGCATTTTTTTTTAATATCCACATCAGAGAAAGTCAGCCTCCCATTAGTTGGGGAAAAAACCCACAAAACCTATGAAGATATCATGGTTTAACTCTCAAAAGTTCATTTAAGCTATAGATTTATTTTATATATTCATTTTATGTTAATTTGCTGCACATTTTCTGTAAAATTGTCCTGCATCAAAAGACTACCCAGTGAGACTGGTGTAAATTTTCTTACTTCACTAATAGCGGGCCCTTCTCTCTTTCTTTTTAAATGCATGGCTTATAGGACATATAAACAAGGTCTGAAGATTTACACTCAGAACTTACTGAAGGTTGCTTTTAAAGCAGAAGTGCTGAATTCTCTTTCTTTCAGGAAAATTTGTCAAATTGACACACCTAGCTGATTCATTATTAAGCTCTCCAGCCTTATTATCTGTTCCACATTAAATAGCCATCCCAGAACTGGGAACATCAGAGGGAGCGTCTCTTCATTTTTCGGAAACAGCATCTCTTCAGGTATAGGGATGGCAAACGAAGGTCTTTGGAATAGATATAAGGACACTTGGGAAGAATCTTTGTGTCCTTTGTTTGGCCCTGGAGAGGTACTTTACATACTGCGCGTGATTCTATCAGTTTTAAGCATTAGTGGCCATGGGTATGTGTGTACAGTTGTCGTTACTGTCTTGTTTACTGTACCAGTAGCATTAAATTCTGGAATCTGTTATTTTCCAGCTGATAGGAATCTGACATTCTCTGACATGGAAATTAAATGCATGCCACTGTTTGATCCAAATTCACTTGTATTAACCTTAGGTCCCAGTGTGATGATATGGTGAGCCCATTATCATGGTTGATGATTCTGTCTTGAAGAATGACTTCATGTGAATGTATAGGAAATAAGTGATATGACAGTCTCATGAGATTTCTCTACCTAGTCTAGTCCAAGCTTCAGTTGTTTAGAGTAGGCAGTGCTGCCGGAGTTGTCTGTCAGCAAACAGGGCGTGGAATCAGCAGTGCATGACTTCAGTGGGAGGTTCTAGTAGCATTTTAGTGGGCCAAGGAACATCTAGTCTCTATCACAGTTATTCATCTCATCAGAAATTTAAATATGCAAACAGAGTCTTTGAGCTTTTAAATTAATTTATTCAGAATAATGGCTTCTAAGTAGGGTAACCTTTTCAGCAGATCTAGTCAGTTGGGTCTGTCTTCTTGTTTCTTTTAATACAAAATCCATTTGACAAGTCAGAAAGTGGAATAGAGAAAACAATGTGGAAACAATAGACACTTTCTGAAATTCATGGCACCAACATCCAAGGCACCACTCCCTGTAAATACAATTATACTCAGAATGGTGAAGCAAATTTTGGTTGCTTCAGTATGTGTCAGACCTTTGGTATATGAATCTTCTGACTTAGAAGACCATCAAATTCAACATTAGTGTTGAAGCATGAGGGGATTCTGTCAAGTTGTCTATATATTTGGTGTATGAAAGGGAAATGCCAAAGTCTCAGTCTTTCAAACTGTCATATCTAAGCTCCTAAGTTCAGAACAGCTGGTTACATCAAAAGCATACTTCCAGATAATAGAAAATGTCAGACTTGTGCATCAGGAATCAAATTCAATTTTAGAATTCCATCAAGTTGGCCTTAAAAATGTCAGGCCTCTGCTTGTTAAAGGCTTGAGAGGATCAGTTGGAGGTTTTATAGAGAGATCCCCATCTGGTCTAATGGTTCTTTAGACTAGTGAATGATTAAAATAATTTCTTTATGCAAGTTTGTTTTCATCCTGTAGGTGGAGCTCGGGTACTACACATTTATAAATAGAGTAGTTTCATTTATTTTTCATGCTTTTTATTTACATGGCATACAGCATACAGCCACAGTACAAAAATAAGCAAAGTAATACAGAGATGCATTGGTTACCTATAGGAACAGATGATGTGGCCGTGGGTAAAAATAGTTTTAAAGTCCCAAAATTGTAGGAATAGTCCACTCACGTATATGAAATTTCTAGAAGAAAATCTGAAGATCTTCATATGACTGAAGATATATTAAATAGAATTTTTTCTCTATTCCAGCT